AACTTTGAAAATGAGCGTATCAGGTATCGATACATCTCAGAAGGATAAATATGCATCTGTTGCGCGAGAGAGTTAAAAACAACACAGAAAACTTTCCAAACTGACTCATTGATTTTGTAAGGTCTTAAAGGAGTATTATTTTATTCCTTTGTTCATGGAATTCGGTGAGAATCCTGCAGCTATAGATTTTGTAACTGATAAGTATTACTTTTCGTGCAGAAAGTGTGAGCAATGGACCGATGTTATATAAATGGTTATTTCCTTTTTGTTTAAAATGCATGTAATTCTCTGACGCCATTGCGGAGACAGTATTCTTAAATCTACATTTTAGTTATAATCCTAAACTAACATATATCTAGGATAAGCTCATGAAAATTTATTTAGTTTGACTCGTATTTCTCATTTTTTAAAGTAGATTATTTCGTCTAAAAAATTACATGCAATGTAACTATTAATTTTTTTTTCTCTTTCAATTGTTGTGTTCGTTCTCTACTACAAAGGGAAAGAGCTAGGTAATCTAATCGGATTTATTTTAGTTTACAAATATTGTATAAACACGTACATGTATCTGTATACATTTTCCCCAAGTAATTTATCATTATATTAATTTACAAAGAAGGCAATCGTTTCATGCGACCATTTGTTCAAGCGTAATTAGACTTTATCGATGCTAAAACTCTCTTCAATGATGCCTCTGTGTTTTTCTGTTAATCCGAAATAGGCATATTCAGTATATCTGTATAAAACTTCTGCAGAGTTAATGATTAATTATAACGTATCAACGGTTCACAATGGTTAAAATAATCAATGTTTCCAAATAAAAGCATTTCTTGTCACGCAATACCGCCATCATGGAAGAAATAGTAACGTCTAGTTGTATTTGGTATATTTCGCATCAACTTTCTCTTTGTCAATATCTTTCCTTGCATCTTTCGTGTAAATTTAGCACAAATTAAAATTCATAAATGGGTAGTATTTGTATAGGATTGACGCTTGGCGAATCTATATAATAAAACCTCTGAAATATTGATTAAAAGAATTGAGAAACTAGTATATAGTGCGTGTATATTTTAATATTAAGAGTTATATCCTAACAAAATTTACTATAGTTAACTATAATTTACTTGAAAACAGATGATACAAACAAACTTTATCAAAAATCTTGAAAATAACAACTTGAGTCATGTGAGTCAAGGAAAATGAATGTTTAGCCGCAAATAAATTTTAGTTTTTTCATTCAATAATGTGATTCAAAGTGGCAAAAAGTTGTATTGATTTATTAGAATGGTTACAGAAAGGTAGAATTTTAAACATCTTAGAAAGTTTACAATTTCTTAATATTTTAGGAATTAATTATTTGCATCTTTACAACTAAAATAGGTCCAAAAATATATACCAATCCAGGAATCCCCCCCCTTTTTTTATATCATATGTCCTTAAGTACATACTTCAATATTTTACTTTTAATTACTGTGATACAATAAAACTTTGAAACTTTGATAAAATGTGAAATTTTCCTCTAGAACTTTTTTTTTTAGATTTGAAGCATTGATATCTCTCAAATTCAATATCAATGATGGTAATATGGGAAATAATACAATTTGAATATACAAGTTATCAAAATTTAAATTTCAGACAGAAATACTTTGATTTACTTTGTTTTAGTAAAAACTTAATTTTTATAGTAAAAACTTTGACACTGTTTACTATCATAGTAAATGTTTGATACTTAGATCAACTATGGTAAATACTTTAATACTTTTATTTTCATTTCGTTTCGTTTCTTTTCTTTTTTTAATTAGATATGAAACATTATCACTAATAAGATTTTCACACAAAAATTTCCTGAACCTTAGTTGATCTATCTTTTTACGAGTAGAACAGGTCAAAGTAGACATAAAATATATGTAAACTGTATCTCTTCCTTTTCATTTTAAAAGATATAAAGTTAAGAAGAGAATAATTATAAGTTTTCTTATTTCCCTGATCATAAGTAAAAGTAACACGGTCATGAAGGATAAGAAGAAAAAAGAGTAAACTTTCAAAATCTATTTTTGTTCCCTAAATTTAGGAGTTACTTTCTATTCGTAAATCCCCTGAAGTATACACGAATCTCAGTACACTTGCACCAAATTTTAATTATTATTATTTTTACTGATCATTGGTATTTAAAAAGTGTGTCTTGGTGTAATTATTCTGCATTTAACCAACAGATTTCATTCAAATTAGACTAAATCTGTAGGCAATGTGATGTTTGGAAATTATTTACCAAAGAATTTCTTAACATTATTATACGAATTAAAAATCAAAATCTATAAAGAGAAATTAATACCTAGATTTGTTGCTAAGTGCCAAGTTTCATCAAAATTCATATTTAAATATAATTAAAGTACTTTTAAAATATTTTAAAGGATTATTATTTTCTCATTAACAACTGCAATACCATTCATTAAAAATTAAATATTGATACGTAAGACTTCCTTATGGAGTCTACACTTTCATTAAGCTTTAACAGGGGTGTATTGGGTTTATCTCATATCAGTATAAACCAGACTATTTTGTGCAAAAATTGCTTGTGGATGAATTTTAAGATGAACGAGCAGTAACTCTTAAATCATTCCAAGATTGGTGTCAGTTTTGGTGAACATGCGCAATCATTTTCCCCATCTTCATCAACCCTTGAACATGTGACACGTCACCCCCTCCTCCTTCCTCCTAATGCATTAAAATTAATAAAAACTAATAGTAATGTTATATTTTGTTTATACAATCATAGAGTATGAACTCTGTCAAAGCCATGGGGAACGTAATAACATGGTCAACAGCATACTCATTTTCGCACTAATTCCAATGATGGTTAAAAATAACATCCTGGAACCGATTTTCGACAAGAAATTCAACAACTCATACTCAATAACATTGCCCATGAGGATAATATTTTGTTTCAAAATTCTGTCACAATCGTGGGTTATTATGAGAAAAAAAAGTGTTAAATTTTGAATTCTTTCATTTCAAGGATAAAGTTTTACATTATGTATATTGGACACGCTTTTTAAAGTATGATTTTGATATTTAACAGTTCCTTGGCCTTGAACATGGGGATACGAGGGTAGTTCAATGAATAATACAATAGGTCATCTAAAAGTAAAAACAAGTAGGTAATTTATATTCTAAATTAATATTTTCAATCCCTCAAAGCATTTTCTGTTATCCTTTACACATGTCTCAAGTCTTTGTACCCAGACCAGAAAACCTCAGCATACCCATCTTTATGGATGCCCCAAAGACACAGATGAATATCACTTTCCCTGACATGTCTAATATTGCACAATCTTACTTTGATTGTTTTCATGCTTTTTTGGAATAAAAAGATTTCACCTAGCGAATATGGGGATGGCAAAGCTCTGTAAACTTTCTGTTTACTTTTCCGACGTGCAATTTGAACATAAAGTTACCATTGGTGGTCCTTCCTTAGGGTGTATGTACATATGTTTTACTGGACCTCTTGAAAAAAAAAATGAAAACTAATAAAACATACTTGGAGCCCTTGTTTCTCTTTACATTAATAAGAACAATAGTTTTTTCTTTGATGCCACATTTTATTATTCATTTTCCTTTTTGGCTATAAAAAAGTACACCCATATTTCGTCATCCATCACCCAAATTTAACAAATCTTCTATTTTGTTAAAATATTTTTTTTAATAGACTGTTGGCACATTTAATGCGTATTTTTCTCTAAAGCAATTTTAAGAAAATAAGTTAAAATATCTGATAGAAATGTTATATTCATTTCCGTTGTAAGAATTCTATAAAATGTTATGACGATGAAATGCTTAGTGTTCTAGCAATGTCTTTGGATGTAAATATGACATTTTTAGATATCATGTTGCACATAGCATCGATAATTTTTGGTGTCCCTAAAAATTTCAATCTACCAGTTTGACTTTTATATTCAACTCTTCTTTTATACTTTTGAATTTCCGAATCAATCTGAAAACTATATAGCGCTAAAGATTATTCTTTCCACGTATAAAAATCATATCTTTAATATAAGTTCTTTGGCGATTAATGTAAAGAAGCACAGTTTTCGCATACACTCTCATTTTCATCTTCTTGGCAGAGATAATTTTAAACAGTTTCCAGCTCAGTGTATTGACCATGCACACTTTAAAAGTTAATTTCTTTGCGAGGACAATAGGAAAAATCATGGGGTTTTCTGTGATTAGGAGCTCTTTAATAGAACGTTTCAACTGCGAAAAAATGAAATAAAATAAATCTATATTTACTATGATACACTGTTTGTTGCATTATTGATTGAACGACCTTGAGTAAAGGTCATATAAATGAAACATAGAGGAAGAAAATATGAAAAATTTAGCTTCATTTCAGGCAAGGCCTCCTGTGACAAGATTTTAACAATCTCATAATGGCTGATTTGTCTAAACTCGGACAAGAATTAGAACCTAGTGTCACGATTTTGAAAGTGTTTATATATTCATCTTTATCAAATTTGTCAATGAAATGTAGTTTCATTTGTATTTAAGTGTACAATTATACATTTAACAAGTAAAAATTCCGGGAATTGCAAAATAACTATATTTTTGTCTATCAAAAACTAGAAACACGTTTATCTTATATTGCAAACAACTGTTAAAGCAAAGTTTTTTTCCTAAAATTGTCAAAATTATTTTTATAAGAGTTTTCTTTTTTTAAAGTATCGAAGTGCACGTGAAAGTGCTTTGACTGAAAATAGAGGGATTGGAAATGTAAAGACAAACTTTAAGTTTATTCATACTGAAAAAAATATTATTTTTAAAGGGAAGCTACAAGTCACTCGCGTGGCGCAGTGGTTAGAGCGTTCGCTCTAGAGAGTTGATCCTTATGTCGCGGGTTCGAATCCCACTGTGGAACGTGGAGACCGGTCCTTCGGATGAGACCGTATAAACCTAGGTCACGTGTCGCAGTAGGTGCTGGCACGAAAAAGATCCCTCACTGCTCAATGGCCCTAAGTGCCGAGTATACATGTAGATCAAAATTTGCAGCTCTCCACCGACAAGTGGTGGCGTCTCCATATCAGTGAAAATTTTCGAGGCGGACCTTAAACAATTACCAACCAAACAAACAAAAAACTTGGCGACAAAATGTTCATTAGTTTTATGAATTCTGTCGAAGATTATGCTAGAATTCATAGTGTTTTATTTCAATTTTAAAACCTTCCAGCTTATACTTATTCTTGCAAAAAAATAATTCAAAGGATGAAACCAGAGAAGGTTGTTGTGGGGATGGTCGCAGAGTAGTAACCTCTACCATTGAAATATCTGGCCCACACCCTGTCACCTCTCTGAAGGCGCAGAACGACCAAGTTTACTCCCGTTTGATACTTTGCGTTTGAGTCTCCAATACTTCGAACTTTTGAAATCCCATTTAAAACAATGTCTACCGCACTATACTGGTTACTGTATTCCAGAACTGTAAGAAAAAAGACGTAGTTTCCATCGAAGGGTGCTGTGAAGACACCTGTACTTGAATTATACCCGACACCAATGTTTGTTATCACGGCGGGAAATACCAGTGTTCCACTGTTCCAGCCTGTGTTGGAGGACGTTACCACGGCGGTGAAACCCACTTTCTTCGAGAGGTCTGATAAATGAAATGAATGAAGTTATTATTATAATGAGGGAATTGACTGCTTTGTAGAATTTATGCTTACGATTTTCACGATTGAATGTACTTAAACATGATTCTGGACACTAATGGAATTGTCAATTTTATGCATTTATAGAAGACCATAAAACCCATTTTTTCTTACAAAACAAAGAATTATGTAGGCTTAATTTAATTAAACAAGAAAAGTATCAAAGGTGACAGGGTTTAATGGCAATAGAATTTTGTATAATGTAATAGATAGTTTTCGATAGATACGATTTTAGCAAGAGTTATTTCCAGTTGATCATTATACTGGAGGTATACAAGCCCGAATTCCTTCCTTATGCAACCAATTTTAACTTGTCATACTGGGCAATTGGGTAAAGATAACACAATTTTTCTTGCGAATTTATGTTAACATAAGCTTCCTTTAATTCGATATTTTAGTATTTTAAAGATTTTTTGCCCTTGTTTTTCTAAATTGGTTACTCAAAGAGGAAAATTCGCTATTTAGACTCCCAAGATGGCGGCCAATGGATGTAACTCGTAAGGGAAAACTATCTATTCGCTGCACTCTTTGTGACAATGAGATATTCCAAATTTCATTTCACTCGCACTATTCTGGTAATTGCTTTTACCTGTAATACATTTTTTTCATATTTTAATTCTTATACTTAAAGGTAAATATACCTTTATTCTTTGAAATAAAATGCTCCTTTTGTATATAAAGCACTTTAAAAATATTGCTTTTTGATTGTGACAAGAAAATTCAAAGTTTGCACAACCTTACTCACTTTGTACGTGTACACACACACACAAAAAGATTACACTAATGTGAAAGGCCTGTGGTTGAATCTGCATTGAGTATAAATGGTTGGTTTATAACAATAAATGTTAATATCAGCAAACGCCACAATACTCACCTGCTAGTGGGTCACCTAACAGTAACTGATATTCACCTAACAGTAACTGCTAGTCACCTTTCTCGGAGTTGAAGCTCGTGACTTGAACAATTTGAGTTTACAGTATTTTGTATATTGATATCTTTTTTCTAATACTAGAAAAAGTATTATCTTAATTTTTTTGTTATTTTCACAAGTTAATTCTCTTAAATTAAGAAATTTACTCCAGGGAAAATAAGCATTTTAAAATTCTATTCTCGGTAACTCTGGAGATCGTATCTTTTTTTCAAATTAAAATCTACAAAGAGACGAGGATACTTGAATATAAGATAATCATATGATATCACCTTTATATTCAAAACATTTTGATGTTTGAGTATTAATATGACAAACTTAATAATTGTTTTTTGCGAAAATGTTTGAAAAGATTCTATACAATGTACATATGAATAGAATGATCTTTATCAAATGGAGGTTGAAACTGTCATGATCTGAGGAAAAGGTGAAAAAAATGCAAAAAGTTTCCTTCGAAACAGAAAAAGGACAGACACTATATCATCAAAAAACCACATTTAACCTTTTGCCTAAGATAAAATGTAAAGGTGATAGTACCGCAATTTTTATTCGTCATATTCATTCGGAACATCTCAAGAGATTTCACAGTAGAAGATAACTTCAGTTGTTCCAATTGAGACTGCTTTCGTTCGTCTTTCAGACTGTTGATCGTGGTGTTCATTTCATCTATAAAATAAAATTTGAAACTTTTCAATGCATTTATAGAAAAAAAAAAAAGGCTCTCAATATGATGTACACATAACGACTGACACGAACACTGGAAGGGTAACCTTACATTTATCGTATAATCATTATGCATTTTTTTCTTTAGTCGTATTTTTTTTTTGTTGTTGTTGTTGTTATTTTGTTTTCACGATTCGTATCGTTATTTAGTATTTACAGATCACGATTTATGAGATTGATTATTATTCGTTAGCTTCACCTTTTTCATCAATCCAGGTGTAACAACCTGACCTTGACTTAGCTGCAGAACTGTAGCGTTATGGTTTTATATTATAGTCTTTGACCATAACGCTACAGATCCCGAAATGCAAATATGGTGCAATTTACGGCGCAAAATTTTTTGCGCATGATTGGGGATGAACCTTGACTTACATGTGAAAATAACTATTAGTATATTGCAAATGTTATAGAAGAAAATTATCTTTTTAATGTATGAATACTTATTTTCATGTCACCTCGAACGAAATCGGGGACACCTTGATATTGTTCCACCTCTAATTTTGTGCGCAGGAGTTCTTGAAGATGGATTGTACAACTTTAATGAAACTTCACAGTATTAAAAATCCCCAAGTCTATTTGTGCTTGCGACATTTTAAAATTTTCACAATGGCCACAGTTGATCCACTGAAATAGATGAAATATGAAGGTACTAATTCTGCTTTCCCAAAAGATAATTCCTTGCATCAAATCAAACTGATATCTGCTTAAAAATTGGAATTAGTTAAGCATCTTTTTTTACTGCTGCCATGTGAAAAAAGGATAAATTATTCTTTTTATTTGATTTTTTTCCCTATAAAAATATTTCAAATTGCATAATATTGATGTATGAGTCTCTCCCCAAGTGTCAAGGTTTTAATATTGTTTTCGTGGCTATGGAAACAAAATGAAATAATTTATTTTTTGAAAATTTTAAATTTTGCAAAATTATGAAATAGTATTTGTTTACTCTGCTCTTAACTCCTATATTTCACTGCTGGCTTAATTCGGAGGTAATATATGCTATTGCTTACGATAGCAAAATTTCTATTTTGTATTGTTTTTGTAGAGTGACTCTTTACTCTGGAATTAAAAAAAAAAGACTGGTGTTCAAACCTTACCAGAAAATTTTGCTTTGACATCAACTTGTGACTTCTTAAGTTCGGAAACAGCAACTGAAAATTTGCTTTCTGTGGCCATTAACTTTTCATTGAAACTGTCAAGTGAATTATTCATGGACTTGTAAATCGCCCCAATCTTTTCAGCAATGGAAACAGAAATGTTGTTCTCGGCGGTTTCTGTATGTGCTTTTAAATCCAGCAACGTGATCGACAAATAACGAACCTCGATCTTAATGTCTGCCAAAACATCTGAAATATTTCTCTCATACATTTGCAGTTTAGCCTCTGCAGTTCTTTTATATTTTTCTTGATTTTTCGAAATCTTAGTGATATTTTCGCCTACTGTTTTAAGATATTTCTTGCTTTCACTGCTTTCGTTCTTTAATATATTGTTCTCAAGTTTCAACAACTCCAAATCCTTTTTCAGTTCTGATATTTCGTTTCCAAAGGATGCGTGCATTGCGGAAATCTTGCTTTCAGCTTCAGCGAGGTCTTCCTTGAGAGTCAACATGTCTTTCATCAGGGCATGGACATTTTTAACCAAGGTCATTCTGATAATAGTTTCTTGGTTCAAAAGTTGTCTGAAAACATCAACATTTTGAGTTTCCATCTTACTAGCGTCTATTTCTGTAGAATTGAGCTCGCCATCTGTGAGAAGTGAGAAAATCGCAGAATTTACGAGGGTGGCGAACACCAGTATAAAGAAAACAATGGCATTCATAGCAGCACGTCAATGTATGGATGTAATTAATGATACATAAGTATCATAGGCGGTATTTATACCACTCTGTGTAAGTAGGGACTTCAGGTCCTTTAATTTCTTTATTTTCTGAAGATATTGTAAGACGAGGAACTTTCCTTCAAACTTGTTGTCTATTATGTTTTTCTAATCAGTTCGCCAGAAATAGACGCAAGTTTGAAATATTTTTTCCGTCGTTTGGATAAGTGATAGCATTATTAAGTGCTTGAAGATTTTCTCAATGATGACAATTATACTTCAATTTAGGACTATCTTGTCATTTCTCAATAACAAGACATCATACACTTAAATTCCAAGTATATTTTGTGTTTTGGTACTTGGATAATTAATTGAAGCGGAAATTATCATCATTGTACTTAAATGATGCTTTCCAAAACTTTTGCGAGTATTCAATTTTGTGATCATTAGCTAGAATGTATAGATCATTCCACACTGGAGACAATCCTTATCTTATCAGAATCATAAAATGGTTAAAATTATATTCCCATTTTTAAGGACAAAGTTTTGGTGAAAATTCCGCTTTTACGATATCAGAAAAGGTCGAATAAAAAAATCACTACGATATAAAACCAAATGTTTCCAAAGAGTACATTATCTCCGATTAAATAATGCATTGTCTCTTATCATTGAGTCTCGATAGGACTACAGTAGAAATCCGAACATTTACCAGAAAAATACAGAAGAAACAACGAATTTTTCTTTCCGGGCTACATCTTGTGCACTGGGTTGAACTTGATACATGTACATATGACGTGAGTCATAAATTAATTCATTTGACCAGATAAGAGTTAATAACACAAGAATGGAGTTGAACATAATTTTATTTGACCAGATTAAAAATGGGGTGAAATGACCTACCGTGAAATGGTAGTAGAGAAAAATAACCTAGGAGAGAAAAAGTTTTAGAGAGAAAAGATCTGACACCCAGTTTTGTATTAATATGAAGCAGAATTTGTTCAAACATTTTGAATAAAAAGAAATTTCTCATTGTGACTTTAAATTCGACATTAAGATATATCGAGGACGTTTTATCAATTAACAATTTTCTTTTTCATTGCTAGTTTGATTCGATATATCCCTTTGAACTTGAAATAAAAGACACCACAGAGTCTGACACATCCGTTTCATATTTAGATATTTTGTTAGAGAAAGACATTAATGGCAAACTAACAATAAACTTTATGAGAAACGTCATAACCAACTTTTCTTTCAACTTCCATTTTTATGTAGTAATATACCATTATGACCGGTGCGTGGAGTTTATGTCTCCCAGCAAGAGCATATTCTACGTACGAACTATTTCTAAAACGAATAACAAATAAGTTGATGATACAAAGATATCAACAGTCTCGTTTTCAGTCAACATTTTGCATATTCTATGCAATGAGCATGTTAGCAAATACAATCTATCATTAAGTCGAATGTTGACTGTTGACTTTCGAACAAATTGTTAGGCCATTATTTTCACACTGAATTGTCTACGGTTTTTTTTTTCGTTTACCCGATCATGACATGGAGCAAACAGCGGGTGTGAAGGGTTGACACGGGATGCTTACACCTTCATGACACCTGATCTTACCTTTAATGTTTGGTCTGCTCTCAGTGTGAATTGTTCCAATGGACTTTTGAGTTTGATTACTTTTGTTATCTTCGAATTCAATATACTTCTAACTGAACAGCAACTAATTCATAAAAAAGTTTGATACAAGAAAATATTTTATTTGCCCGTTTAAAATATTTCTATGCTTTTTTAATGAGTTCAGAAAGGTCATATTTTAATTTATACGCTTTAATTGGTATATGTAAATATATATATATATATATATATATATATATATATATATATATATATATATATATATATATATATATATATATATATATATATATATATATATATATTAATTTAAACTATTTTGCTTTAAATAAGACCATATTTATTGCCATTTTTAAAACATTATAAACTATTATTGATTTAAGTTAAGGTGGTTTTGAAATATTGTAAAATATACCTTTCAAGAAACCCTTGATATGAACAGTGTCAAGGGTGACCTTCATTTAAGAAATGAATTTATTTTTTGAAAATTCATGAGGATATGAACTTCTACGATGCTTCACGTCGATGTAAAGACGAATAATGACCCCCGTAGAATAATGATTGGGGGTCATTTTTCTACGTCGAAAAATGACCCCCAGTCATTATTCGACGTAGAAAAATGACCCTTTTGCCTGTAGAATAAGTGGCATCTCCCTTAAAATCTACGTGAAGAAAAATGACTCCAGTAGAATAATGACTCCTTGTAGATTTTGGTAGGGATATACATGTATTTTTCTTTTTTGGTTAAAAAGAATTAGAATTATAATTCAAAAGGCTCGTGTACCAAAATTTTCACCTGAGGTATACGTAAAAGGAGGATACAGGGATGTTAAATTATAATTAAATATTTCGAATAAAATAATCTGTCATTTATGTTAACCGACTTCAATCTACAAATACGCGGAAATGCTTCAATTTTGATTTGACAAATGTATCATTGTTTTTAAGAAGACTGTTAAAAAAATCGCATATATATTCCAGAGAGAGAGGGGGGGGGGAGATATAATTGTTTATAATGTCGGAAAACCCGAAATATCAAGATTCCACGTATAAATGTAAGAGGAGAGGAACAAATGTGTTTTGAGAATTCATTAAAAAGGGGGGGGGGGGCATTATAATTGTATTTCGTCTCTTGTGATGCACTGTAATACTATATGAGTTAACAAAATATATCGTTTTCTTCTTAAAACCTACTTGGGTCATTCTAGTCCAGGTGAAAATTTTCGGTCAATGTAATTTTAAATTATATTATTCCATCTTACAACCGTGATTCATTATACCGATGGAAAGGGAACGAGTGTCCACTATACAAACTACACATGTTGTAATACTATGAAATAATTTACATTTAACAATGACATTTGGAGATAAATTGAAGAGCACACAGTGTGATAATCAGTTTATTGTTTTATTATATACTTTGTTGTTATATGAGACAGTTGTGTAGGGTTCAAAGACAGATCATGTCGATAAAAATTGGTCAGTAAAATAATGGTGAATATCTATATGAAAGACAGATCTCGGATGTTATTAAGGGACATACATCTTTATTGTTTTTCCGCTTTTATTTGCCCTGCCTGAGCTTACCCTCACCCCTATCCCCCTTTCAAGTAATTATCAATCACTGTGTAGCAGTATGGTAAGAAAGATAACTCAGCGATGTTCTATAGCGAAAAAAGATACTGTACATCAATGAATAAAATCCAACAAAAAGTTAATTTTTCAAGAGGAAAAAAGAGAAATTCTTTGTGCGGATGGACACCAAAGACACAACAAATATTGGTACTCATGTCAGACTGATCGAGTATTAAGACATAGCAATTTAAGGTCGTATTTTATTTTTAAAAGAATATTGTAGTTTCTAGATCATGCCTCCATCTTTTAAATTAATGCGACTTGACAAAATTATGAATAAAAAGAATATATATGACACATTTTAAATTCTTGGAAGACAGGCCCTAGAAAAGATAAAATTTAAAAAAGCACGGTTTTAAATGCTTTTTATATGTTTAAAACTGGAACCAAATTGTATCTGATCATAATTTAAGAAAATATCTCCAGAGTCATTACCAAATATTAAAAAAAATCAATAAATTAAGTCATCAGTGAAATTTCGATTCCTTGCACGCCCAAATTCCTGCCAATATATCTAAAGTGCCCAGATTCAGATGTAAAATATTTATGTGACATTTATCGTAATGGTCACAATCACAGGTGCTTGACGAGGTTTCCTTGAGGACAGACACCCCCCCCCCCTCCCGGATAAAGACCCCAGAGCCTTTTCTCATAAATTATCTTCAATCTTTCAGTGACATATTTAGTGATATATTCCATGCCATCAATTTGAAAAATTATCTAAAACATACTTTTTAATTTTTCATCCCACTCTATATATAATTGATACATAAAGTGGGGTAGAAATTTTTATAAAACGTTTGTTCTGGATAATTTTTCGAATCGATAACATGGATTATATCACAAATATGTCACTGAAAGATAATTTATGAGAAGGAAAATCGAAAAGGTCAGGAGGTCTTTATCGGGGGGAGGGGGCGGTCCTGTCCCCAAGCACCTTTGAGCACAATATGACATAGCTTGAGAAATCATCTTTTACAGGCTGTTTTAGTCTGTGTCGCTTAGGTAAATTAAAGGATTACGAATAGTTTTGTCGAATTTTACAAAATCATCGAGTCTGGACATTCAACATATTATATTAAACATTAATTAAATTGGCAGGATATATATAGATTTTTTGGAAACAAGGAATGGATCCAGTGTTATACAGGGGCTGAGGTCATTTACTTAACCTGTAAAAACTGGATCAAGAGTACTAAAGAGAGTTAACTTCGATACATATATATGCTTTATAAGGAATTTCAAGAAAAAAAAGAACGTAAAAAAGGGAGATAAATTCAAGTCCTTTTGGAGTATCATATGCGATATAGAATTTTTCATTATCCGAATATTGTCACCGAAGAACGAAACCGCATCCTCAGACTACAAATGGTGTTTTATTGAAGTTATTTGGAAGTGACAGAATGATATGGAAGTTTGTCCTAATAGAACTGATACCCCCGCCAATTTCTGTTCGGATACTCCGTAAGATAATTTTTTTAAAAGTCGAAAAGTTAACTAAACATACACACAAGACAGACAACTAGACGGATGGACAGGATGATTCCAGTATGCCGTCCTACAACCTCCATGCGGGGGTATAAAAACATCAGGATCTTCCTCAGAAATGAAACTCTTATTACAACTCTTTCATTTTAAAGACACTGGCCACATCTCTGATTACTACATTTATAGGACTTCCGTCACAATTCTTTTATGTATCAATCCCTCCCCCCCCCCCTTTACAATCCAAAATTACATGTCTACCCATTTTGTCCATCTGCTTTTTGTCAGTGAACTGATATATATGGGTGTTTTTACAATTTCATCAGCTAATATGATAGAGCTACATTTTTTTCTCAATTACTTAGAATTATTCTCCTTAATTAAAAAAAAAAGGAACTTTTGTTTCTCCCTGGGAAAAAAAAAACATATTTCAGTGTTTCTCGATTTTAATGAAGAAAATATTTTACATGTCAGCTGTACAATATATTTAAATGATTATAAATATAATGGTTTTCAAATAATGATACAATTTCATTTTCTTTGCAGTATATTGTGCATAGAATAGCTAATTCTAAGGGAAAAGCCTTAAATAAACATACATCATACTCGTTACATGTAAGAACATTGAAAAGTGAAAATGTTAATTTTGTTACAAAACAATTATTGTGTGTCCTCTTAATATTTTTCTATAATGTTCACTTGATTATCACGCAGTGACTTTTTGTAATTAGTAAAAGTAATTCAAAGAATACAAGTCAATTATTTTCAAACCTATTTAGTGCATGATTATATCAACATTCTTTCAGAGAGAAAAAAACATACAGATATACTGATAAACATTGTCAATCATGATTTCTTATTAGAATCTGCTCAATGATGGAAACAAAAAACAGGCCACTTAGTGGTCTGATGACAGAAAACAGAATATCAACATGACAGTTTGGATTTACAGAGAAAAACACTTTATATACAGCTATCTTACAATTAAAAGACTGATTAATTTGTCCTTGTAATGGAGAGCTTCAACTTATTTGAATATAAATAAAATCTTTATAATTTTGATCTAAAATATAAAACAATACGTATTATCTACATACAACCTTTCGTGGGAGACACACTATACCTCAATGTCAAATTGCTTTCAAACCTTCTGTACGGGAGAACTCAGTATCTCACACTACCTCTCAATGTCAGATCTCAATCAAAAAGGTGCAAAAAGACTGGATTTGAAATTTTATCAAACTTCTTGAAATTGCTCACTAAAAATATGGAATGATTTCAAAAATATAAAAAAAAAAATTAAAAAAATATTTGATCCCATTATTCATGTGGATGGAATTTCTGCAAATTTTTTATATATGCATGTTGGCAAAAGTTTAAAAGAAAATCATCCTCACAACCATTGATATACAAAGCCTCACAAAACCTGACATACAGTCATACCAAGAGAAAAGGAATTATTGCAACATAAACAATGGCTGTGATTCTATCACAGAATAATATCAAATGACTGACATATGTACACAAATGATTGACACAAACAAAACAGATACACAAACTCAAGAATAGCACTCATGCTTGGTCTAGACCAATATAAACCCTTTACACTGAAGAACTTTGGCATAAATGTCACAGGATTCAATTGAAACAGAAAAATCATTTCTCTGACTCTCTGACATGAAGTTCATGTTCACTGAAATTTAATTGGCTTGTAAAATTCTTTTCCAGATAAAAATTTTTTGTTTTGATATAACTACTGTGAACTAAGTCCAAAATATTGTATCACCATTTATCAATTTAATACTAACTACATATGAGCATGGATTTTTGGATTTCTCCTGAATATCAAGAAGACTTACTGTATGGTGTACCCTTATTCTACAGTGAACAGTTCATCAACTTTTGATATTCTAATTACAATGTTCCAGCAATTTTCAATAACACTACTGTCATACAGATCGCACTGAGATAAACTTTTAGAGATTTCAAACACTCGGCATCATTACTGTGTCAGAATATGGATTACTGTTAAGACCATTCGTGTCATATATCTGGATTGGTTTTCGACTTCTCGGCTTGTCATCAAACGTAAGGTCAGCATACTGTAAGTCATTGTTGTACTGTTTCTTTTCTTGCTGCAAAATGAAAAAAAATAGCTTATTTATCATGAGTAAAATTCAACCACATTTTTCCTATGGGAAATAACTGCTACGGAGAATGGAGTTATTTTTCTGTAGATGTATAAGCAAGATGTTCTGAGAAAAAATTGTAGGAAAGTGTCCATATAATTCAATCCAATTCTACTGCTGTTCTTTAAGACAAGTAAAAAAAAAATTAATCATCAGTTTGTGTAATAAAGTATTTCTTTACTATCTAAAAAAATATTAAAGTCAAATTTTTTATATAAAAAAGAGGTTTGAGGATAAAAATGATTTTGCTTCTTTTTTTTGTTTTGTTTTTTGTTGTTTTTTTTTTAATAAAATTGTGAATACAAAAATTACTTTTCATACATTATACAATGTACATGTAATTTACTTCTTTTTTTTTTTACATGTTTTAAAAACATTAATGTAAGAAATTAGTTTTTTCACTAATAAGTTATACAGACCAACTTCTTAGTCTAAGAAGTTGGTCTGTATAACTTATAAGTGAAAAAACTAAGAATCTTAGTAGATAAATCATTTTTGGCAAATGATAAGCATTACTATGAAGGATTAGAGTAGGTATCAGATATTTATATTTACCGCATAAAATGGTGAATTTTTGTCATTGTTAACAATATCTGGTCTGTTCACAAATGTTAAGTCTTGGTTGCTGCAAGAAAAAGAAAATAATTTTTAATACTAATTACTATATGCAAGAACATGCTTTCTGTAATTCAAACTAAAAAATTATTTTCTTAAAGAAACACAACTTTTTTTTTCAAAACAACACTCCATATAGCCTTAAGTAATTGTCACCTAATGTCACATGCAGGTTCTTTTCTTCGGAGCCAGTACACTATATATTCCTTTGTAAGACATGAAAGCCCTAATGCATCTCCATTTGGCCTTCAGAGCAAGAATTCTGCATTTACACTACATGAGGCTAATTTCATAATAATTTGACAATGTGAACCCATGTTTTTGGAAAGAGTTTTGGAATTATTCTTTTTTTTTTTCTTTTTACAAAATTGAATTCAATGTAAAGAATTCAACTTTTGACTTGATTCTACATATTGATGACTTCCTAACAATTTTTTCTATATGTAGCCCTACATAATTGAGAAAAAAAGATTTTAACAGATTTTTCTGAAAGAGTTCTTTGTAAAGCATTTGAACCCCCTTTTTTGGCTCAATCCCTTCCCAGGGATGATGGTGGAGCACAGATTTAACAACATCAACATCAGAGTACCAATCTCTACATAACAGATTGATACAGTTTGGAGTCCAATGGTCCATATATACATGTAGATATTTTTAATATTTAAGTCTAAAACTTTGAACTCTTTTTTTCTGAAACCTAATCTTTACAACTGGAACCATGACTTTTAAAAAAATTGAATCTGCAGTGCACTACAAGAGAATGTTTACATATGGAGTCCTTCAGTTCTACATGTTAATGAGAGCAAGATTTTCCTCATACATTTGTGTGTGACTTCCCCAGGAGTCATAGAATGAACAATTGAAATCAACATTACACAAGCACAAGAATGCTTGCACATATTACAATTGACAATATGTAGCAGTGTTGAAAAATATTCAAAGATTTTCCCTCTACATTTTCTATGTAAAACTCCTTTTTCGACCCTTCTCTGTCCAAGGGGCCATGGCCTTAATTTGAACAAACTTGAATCTCTATTCCTGGTTCTGGCAAAATGTGAAAAGTTTATGCATGACAAAAGATGAAAAAAGATAGTAATTGGTCACCTGAGTGTATTAGGATGACCCAACAAGTATATGTACTTACTTTCTAATTGGTTTCTCTGGAGGTTCTAAATAAAAAAAAAACAATACATGTATTTGAAAAAAGGAGTATATAATTTATAAGCACACATACGGTAATTATTCAAAACACAAAAATAGAACATTTGTCTGCACCTTTTTAACTGTTGTGGAAATAAAACTTCCATAGATTTTTCCATCTGGAATACTAGTAATTTGATCTTACAAAATATTCATATATCAAAAGTTCTTTATCCTATAAAAATCTGTAATAAAGAAAGACTGAATTGTCATTTAAAATCAATGACTAAAGTCTACACAGTTGTGATCTTAATTTGCAACTGACCATCAATAGAGTCTTCCTTTGACTGTCGTCTTTTGCAGATGCACCATACAGCCAGAAAAATGATGATAAGAACAATGATGACACCAATGACGATACCAGCTATTGGTCCAGCTCCTAGTCCTCCATCTATAGGAAACCAGTACATTAACATCAGAGCACTATGCACCAAGGACATTAACATGTACCAGCAAAGATATTAATATCTGGGTACCAACAAAGACATTAATATCTGAGTACCAGCAAATACATTAATATCTGAGTAGCAGCAGAGACATTAATATCAGAGTACCAGCAGAGATATAAATATCTGAGTACCAGTAAAGATATTAATATCTGAGTATCAGCAAAGACATTAATATCAGGATACCAACAAAGACATTAATATCCGAGTAGCAGCAGAGACATTAATATCAGGGTACCAGCAAATACATTAATATCAGAGTACCAGCAGAGATATAAATATCAGAGTACCAGTAAAGATATTAATATCAGATATCCAGCAGAGACATTTATATCTTGAGTTACTCAAGTTGAGTACCAGTATATAAATATATTAATATCTGAGTACCAGCAGAGACATTAATATCTGAGAACTAGCACAGGCCTTTAAATTGCTTTTTTCCAACATACAAATTAGGGGTACATTTTAATACTCCCAGTTTGTCAGTAGGGTTAAAGCAATGTAAAAACGTGTTACTGGAAAAGACATTAATATCAGAGTTAACCAGCAAAGACATTTAAAGTAATATGAGCTGCAACTTTGATATCAGAAATTTTTGTTGCAAAATTGTAATTAACTATTTCAATGATGAAATTTTTTTTTAAAAATAAATTTCTGTTGCTCATATTTGTGATGGAAGAACTATTTATAAGCTTTGATTGAAGCAAAACTGCATTATTATCATCCTGTACAATATTGATTTCTTATATAATATTATACATTCCCTTGTAAAGAAATCATTTATGAAAAAATTCTGATACTTATTTTAGTCTTATTGATCATGAAGATTTAAATTACTAACATATTTATTATAACAGCACATTTTAACAGCAAAATAAAATTCTCAAAAATGCAGCTCATATTGCTTTAACAGTGTTTTTTCTGAGTTTGAATAGCAAAGACATTAATAGCAATTCTCTGTAACCACTTAAACTTCTTTGCCACGCATGGTCACCGATTTTGATGAAACTTTACCCATTATTACAACTTGACACGAGAAACATATATCAAATAAAATTTTGTTGCTATGTGTCTTGGTTGCCATGGTAACAGCCAAAAAAGTTGGAAAAATTGAGATTTTCAGCCACTTTGAATCTTTATTAAGCCTTAATAAAGAGTAAGAAAAACAAACAAACCATTCTCACAAAAACCTGACACCTTGTTGCCACTTATGCTATAAAGAAATTATTTAGAATTTATCTCCAAGAAAGTGGTAACCATGGGTACATTTGGAATACATTTCAGATGCTGAAAAATGCAGAAAAACGCTCAATATTCACTAATTAGGTGTTAAATGATCAAACTCAATCAACAACCTAAGAAAAAAACAATAAAAATATTTGACCTTAAGTAATTAGGTATTGGCAATATTATTCTAAAAATAACTTTCATGGTTGCCATGGTAACACAGTGTAACCATGCAAAATATGTTGCTAAGATTGGGTTAATGCTACTATCTTCAGGAAAAAACATTAAAATTCATGACTGGCACATATGCATCCTCAGGACCTTGCAACACCGACAACATAAGAAAAATTGGGATTAATTGTTACTTTGCAGTGTAACCATGGAAACAATGTACCAGTTGTTTAAAGTGATATTTTTTTGCTGCCTTAGGAATTTACTTACCTTTTATTCCAAAAACATATTATTTGACTCACCTTGAATAATACATTTCTGGTAGAACTAAAGTTGAATATCATATATTGATAACGATTGTTAAAAAATATAACACTGTTGCTATGGTAACCAAGAAGGGAAAATGTTCGATTTTGTTAATTTTATATCAATATTAAACCCTATGTGCCAGCTTTTTGCATCCAGTTAGAGATTGGGTGGCAGTCAAAATTGAAAGTCAGGTTAGTTGTTCATAATTATCAATCATAAAAGTTTTGGGAATCTACATACAAGGGTACGTATCCAAGGAAACAGAATATTTTTCAGATTTTTTTGCATATTTTTTCGGCTTATTTCCATAGCAACGCTCTATTTAAAGAATTGAATTCAAATTTTTTGAAATGTGAAAATTAGGGTCACATGAACGTCTTTAAAAATTGATCATTAGTTGTATAGAAATATGCTTTTTAAAAAAATTGGATTAGATTTAAACACTAAGAGAGTAAATTTAAAATCCCTTCTTGGTATTAAAACCATGGCAACCATTGCCAACCTATAAGAAATATCATATTTCTTCCTTGGTATATGTTACAAGGATATTTTGTCTATTATTTGCTTGCATTTCAACCTATAATTTTTTTTATTCTTAAGTGTATGATTTTATAAAATTAAATGAGCAAAATTATTACTTTTGAATACTTTGTTTCCATAGTAACACATGTAATAGTTGATTTACCAAACCAGTTTATCATGCATTTAAGACATCAGGCCTTCAACTTTTAGAAACAATCATTGCCACTTGTTTGCTTTGCTGCAAACGTTAACTGTGGGACTCTGAACATGCTGAAAAATGCCATTTTTCAAACTTTAGGACATGTTGCCATGGTAACCATGACACGTAGCAACCAATTTCTGCCTGATTTGAGTTTACGGTATTAAAGACTTTTATCATAGAGAGTTTGGAGAAATTCTGAGGCTATGCGTGCCACACCTCCTATATAAAAGTTCAAGTCATTACAGAGAATGGCTCTTAATATCTAAGTATTTTCAAAGACATTATTATCATCAGGGTACCAGCAGAGACATTAACATCAGAGTACCAGCAAAGACATTAATATCAGAGTACCAGCAAAGACATAAACATCTGAGTACCAGCAAAGACATTAACATCTGAGTACCAGCAAAGACATAAACATCAGAGTACCAGCAAAGACATTAACATCAGAGAACCAGCAAAGACATGAACACCTGAGTACCAGCAAAGACATTAATATCAGTGTACCAGCAAAGACATTAACATCAGAGTACATTAATGTACCAGAAAAGACAAACATCTGAGTACCAGCAAAGACATTAACATCAGAGTACCAACAAAGACATAAACATCAGAGTACCAGCAAAGACATTAATATCAGTGTGCCAGCAAAGACATTAATATCAGAGTACCAGCAAAGACATTAACATCAGAGTACCAGCAAAGCCATTCATAAACATCACAGTACCACAAAGCCTGAGAAAATATAAGCATTTATAAGCCTTCTAATTTACCTGGTCTTTGAACATCTGTCAATTAAGCAAATTAGAAGTCTGGAATTGGGTGATAGAAATTGATATGTATACACTTTGTATATCTTTGTATATCTTGTCTAGGGCATGTGGCGATAGTCAAATTAACTTTCAGGCTTTTGCTGCTTACGGAATATACCAGTATCATGGTGTCATGATTGCATAAATATACTAAAATAATCACGTCATTGAAATCTTGTTTGATTTAGTGGAAAATATAAAGGTCATTTTTTTTTCCAGACATGGCAACACATAAGTAAGGCACAAGTAATTGTGGCTTTTTCACACTGTACTTTTCGATGATTTTTACACCAAGATAGGACGCAACAAGATAAAACCTATGATCCTTACTGAATTACGATAAATGTACACTGAATGATTTTTTACAATATTACATGACAAGACTGAGTGTTCACAAATCATCGTTATATTGTATCTATAGAGGATTATATGCAGTTTGTTTTAAGATTCTTAGTTAAAGATATGGAAAATTGTTATAGTTATAATACTAATATTTTTTTGCTTGATAAGCTAGCTTATGATTACCAATAAAATATATGTATTAAACTCCCGCAAGTAACACTCTGTTTCTGTGTATATTGTTTGTGTATATATATGGGATTATGGATATAGCACTGTGCACGGTGCACAATCTGCACATCCATCAAAGCCTCTGGGTAAAACTCGGTCTCTCCCCTTACCTGAGTAAACCATAAGGTTAAAAAATTTTGGCCTTTAATATCAAGATACCAGCAAATAAGCAGATATATGTACATGTATTTATATCAGAATTCAAAATAATGGGAACAGCAAACACATTAACATCAAAGTATATACAGGCATACATATTTAACTACATATGCTAAAAAAATTATTCCAGAGAAGTACTGATATCAGTTCCAAAGGCCATTGTTAACAAAGAAACACTACTGCATTTTCCTTATATTTTTTTTTATAGGAATGCTTATACAAAGGTATATATCACTATCAAACATCCAAATGATTAATTCCAATTGACATCAGCTGACATCTGTGACCTCATATTGCGGTCAATTGGAGCAGTGGTTCAAGGATTGGCCAAATGTAGGTAAATATTTTACGATATGAATAATTAAATATGTTTTTTATTCATCTATCATGTCATCACCCACACAAATTCAGGCAAATAACATAAAAACTCCATACCTCAGGAATATACTAACCATAGTTAAATCATTTACTAGGTCTGACAAGTTAATGAAGTATCTGAGATTTTCAAGCAACTGATTTCAATCCCTTTATTTATGCCTAAAATTATGAATCGTAAATACATGTATAAATTATGTCTGTATTTCCTGTCTTGTCACACTTGTTTATCATTTAGTAACGAATTTATGTCCTCAAAACTTATATTTAATATCTAATGAAACCTTGCAGGCTAGAAATACTTCTGTTTTCAAATTTCTTAAAAAGTGTAATGTTATTGTTCATTAACTTGATTTTACACAGTTAAGATTTTACATCTTTACTTCCTCATACTGTCATCACTTAAAACAACCCTATGCTCTCCAAAACCTTACACAATTTTCCAGCTAAACTTGTACCAAAAAGAAATTGTGAAAAATATTATATGGGAATGAGAGAAGCAGAGTCAGTTAGCTCTCAGAGTAATGCCTCTTTACAGATGAATGGACAGACAGATGGACAGTCACTAAATAAAATGATCCCTTTGAGTATGTCACACTCTGCAGGTGATAACAAGAGCGGAAAAGATCATGATTAACAGTTATCCAATGATGTAAGCTAATATATTCTCTGCAAAACCTGAAAATGTTATTGATTAATATAAAAAAAATAAACCCCTGACCTACACAAAAACAAACACCTCAAAACATTTTAAAAAAAAAAACACCCTCCCTGTATCTTCAAATGAATCAAAATACATATTATAATTAATATGATAAAGTAAACCCATATAAAACTACATGCATGAATTAATACATTACCGTCTTTTCCCTGTGTTGCTGGGGTGGGTCTTCCAGTTGATCCTGTAGGAGAGGCAAGAGGTGTAGTGGTGGGGGTAGTGGTAGTTGTGGTTTTTACTGCCAGAAAGGAAAAGATACAGAGTCTTGATTGGCATGCAGATTACACTCAATTGAGGCTTACTGGGGGGGGGGGGGAGCAAAATCTGGGAATTTGTTGATCAAAGATATATAATATGGGGAAGGGAGTGGTGGCCAAAGCAGCATATAAATCTAAAATTTTTTCTTTATCAAGGACATAATAATGCATGAAGTAAATTTCTCTTTTTTTTCATATGCTGAAGAAAAAAGGTTTTCTACTTGATCGTTGTTTAATTTGGGGGTTTCCAGTAAGCCTCTTTTATGCATTCCAGTTTATGTTCGTTGTAGAATATGAAATATTGTGATATTAAAATGAACTAGCTCTGGGATAAATCATCCATATACAATTATACATTTAATGAAAATATAATAAAGTTACTGTTTGGAGACAACCCTGTACTTCTTGTAAAAGCTCTTTTCAACTTTGGGTCTTATATCAGAGAAGAGAGCATTACACTTATTGTGTTCATAAGTTGAAATCCAAGATACTTTAGGTAATTTATTAATAGAAGATGAATGTAAACATATATCTGCTGTCTTCAGCAAACAGCTGATCTGGGAACAGAGACAGAAAGACTATAGTTACATGGGCATTTCTGATGATGGAATTTAAACTAATTGTTAAGCAGAGATATTATTGTAGAGTTATATCATAAAGCCAAAATGAAAAATAAAAACAGAGATTTTTTTTTCTTTTCAAAACAATATAAAGCATTTGTGCATTTATAAAATGTAGAATGTTATATAAGGAAATGTAGAAGTCCCTATTTCCCAAACTTCCAATATCACAAAAGAACCAAGATGCACAAAAAAATAACTCATGCATAAAATGAAAGAAATCAATAGATTAAATATATGAAAGAGATATAAATAAATTTTACAGGTAGAGAGAGAAAAATGAAGAGTAACTGCATTTGAATAATGCCAGCTAGTGCACTGAATGATTCTCTGTCATGTAAAATGTAGGTTATATATAGTAACTAAACCATACGTAAAATATACCTTATTCAAATGCTGAATAAATGACTTTAAGTATTCAAACTTTTAAAAGGAAGAGATGGTGAAATGCAATTATTGGAGCTCTTTGTATAGGTCACTAAACACAGTTCAAGTTTTCTAAATAGTGTTTTTTAATTATTTGCCTCCATAAAAAATACACTTTGTCTTTTTTTGGGTATTTTTGACAATACATTATTATTACTTTCATTTTTTATGTATGTAACCAGTGTAATGTTTTGTGCCTAAGGCTGTGTGCGTGAAAGGTATGTTGATTTGTTTAACACAGATTGCAATCAGTCAGGTTAGATGTAGGATCCACACAACAAATTCATGGGGCAAGTCAGATGCTTAAATACTACTCTAAAACTACTGTTACCAGAGACTGAGTGTCACCTTGAATCTCTGAAGGACAGGGGTTTTGTTTATCATGGAAACTCAAAAATAATTCTCAATGTTTTGTAAAGAATTCCTCTCATCCCCTGGACCTGCTTTTTGTCCATGAAATCTACCTGTACATTGACCCACTTCATTAAACTGTCTACCTGACAGGAAGGATTGTGTTGACATTAAACAGCTGAGAAGTGTCCTCATACTGTAGCAGCAAGAGACACCTTACACTAGAGGAAATGATAAGTTAGCCCTAGCCTGCCTGATAAATTTCCCAGTGCTTTCAACAACTAACAGGGGGAAACATTATAAAACTATTTATTTATCCTTAAAGTCAAAGTACACATTACACAGAATGGTATTATAAATCCAGCTATTTCTATAAAGGTGTAGATGTATCTACATGCTGGGTGTGACTTAATAGTAATTATAAAGCAACAACCTACTGGTAATTAACCAAAGTAAATGCCTTTGAACAATTTAAAATCCAAACGGAGGACCATTTAAGATTCCAAAGTGGGCCAACATGGATGTGAGCTTAGATTATATCACACAAAGATAATAAAACTAGTAATCTGTTCTATTCAAAAAGTCAAACATTTGTCTTGATTTAAATCTACTTGGGCCATGAGCTTTCATGAAGTGAAACTTTTATGATGTCCTATTTAAATGTTGAAAGTGTATGTGTGATGGGTATGTCAATTTCTCCTTATAATCAACACAGGACAAGATAAGCCTGCTTACAACTTCCTTAGCAATGTCCAGTTACTCCCATACGTCCAGTTTCTCATGTTTACAATCATGTAAAATAAATATTTTTCACTCGACAAAGGTTTGAAATTACCTGGACATATTACAATTAAAGGGCAATACTTTCCTCTTTTGAACAGATAAAATTCATTCTATTTAAAGAGATCTTATGTCAGTGATATCTTTTATATAAATTCTTCTTTTGAATTTATTTTCAAAAAGCTTTTATTTCCACCATGACTTGCAAAACCCTATGAAAAATTTTAAATCCAATTTACCCGATACAATGCATATAAACTCAATATTTGTTCATAGCTATAAAAATTTTTGTTTGCACACTTTTTCATCAAACCTTTTTTCTTTCTGTGAGATCAGTATTATAATATATTGTATATATCATTAAGCTTATAATATTATTTACTGTTACTTTACTTGTGTATATTCTGTATATGTAAATCTCCTGATTGTTAAATAAAAAGTTGAGGTGGTCATGCATATGTACATGTAGTCGTTCTCTGGAGATACAGATTTATGTATGCAGGAAAATTCCCAGATTATAAAAGAAAATGTTATAAAATAACATTCAGAATCATGCTAAAGAACAAAGAAATAAAAAAAAAAAAAAACAAGGAATGTGGGAGCAGAAATTTCATTAAAGTAACATGTAACTGAAGAAAACACATCTCCACATAATTTTATATTTTTATAGCAAAAAATAATTAATTCAATTTTTTTTTATAAATCTCAATAAAAAATACATTAATATTAAATAAAAGTATAAAGCTTCAAATCAAACACTAAAATTGTATCTTTAAAAAAATGAAATTAAAAACAACACACACGTGGACTTACCAATCTGTAAACTTAAGTCTTTAGATGCATTAAAGAATTTCCCATTGAATCCATTAAATGCAGTGCACATATATGTTCCAGTATCAGTTTCCTGAAGATTTGTCAGAGTCAGTGTCCCATTATTAGATGTTAATTCTGTGGTGTTGTCATTGGGGCTGGCCCTGAATGTCCACAGATACCTGTTAACAGCCGTATTTGTGTGGATCCCGGGAGTTGGATTACCCTCAGCTTCACAGATCAAGGTCACAGAGGAACCAACAGAATACTGAGAGCTATCTCCAGTGTCTGGTACCTTTGTTATTCTGGGTACATTGACTTTAACTGTAAATATATACTGAATTAAAGCTATGGAGACTTAAAAATATACAAGTTGCAATGAACAGACAGGAAGCTTAAAGTACATTTAGCTCTCTGTATACCATCTTATTTTACAATATTAATGCATTTCAAATCTCTCTACAGACACATTTCTGCTACTGACCTGTAAATGTTAGTTAAAGGTTACAATGCCACTATTTCAATTTTCCTACACAAATTCATACTTACAAAATACATTAACCCTCTTAGACTCTTGGTTGGGTTTATCTCGGTCTGGCATTGTCAACAGTTCATTGTCCACAAAACATCTCCACACTGATTGGTCATCGTCTTTAGTCATAGTGTATGTTATCGTGCTGGTCACATTGTATATGCAAACAGCTTCCTGAACTTGTGGGGTGTTGGCAGATACCCCTGTAGACATTTCTTGTGGTGCAGTTATTCCTTTCCTGTAGCGCCACCATTTGATTTGTCCTGGTGGCTTCCCAACGTTGGCTGTACAGGAAAATGTTACTTCTATGTTCTCTTCTATATTGTCTGGTACAGGAACTGGAATGTCATAGGGCTGCTCAGCAGGAGCTACAATTGTAATATCACACGTTTACATACAAAGTATATGTAAAATATTTATCATTATAACATTTACTTGTGAATTTAGAGATTTTTTCATGACTTATAAAACATAAATACAATTGCATTCATCAAAATACATAATTATTCAAATTTTATATACCTGTACTGTTGCTTAAAATATTTACCCCTAACTGTGAGAGATGTTTCTTTTGTCTTAGATGATGGACCTGCAGCAGTAGCAAAAAAGACCTGGCATCTGTAGTGCTTCTCATCTAAGCACATCACTTCATTTAATCTCATCACAGCATCATAAGAATTAGCTCCACTAGCTGTAACATTGAATAGTTCAGATCGATTCTTATAATCAGGGTTTGCAAAGGAATTGGAACCTTGTCCAGGAGGAGAAAAAGTGGCTATATTTGAAAACCCATCATCTCCTTGTCCTGTTTTAGCTTGCCAAGAAATTAAGCCTGGATAGACTGTATCACCAGATTCTAGTGTATATGTACAAGTGAAGTCAACAGAACCTCCAATGGTGGCTGTGAGAGAGCCTGCTGTTGAGACTGTTCCAGCAATACTACCTGTAATAAGAGAAATATACATCAATTTGCTACAAAGAACATAGGAAATCAAATATTCATCTTATCAATACCAGTTATATTAAGGGAAAAAATGCTGTATATGCAAGTACCATATTATACTGAGCTCTTTGCACCTCCTGTATATTGTATTGTAGCAGGAAATTAACTTGGGGGTTAATTTTTGCTGTATTTGCAAAAATAAAAATTCCCTGAATTAAATTCTTAATTATTCGATAAGGAGTTTTTTTTTTTAACATACTGTTACTGGTGCATAGTATGGTGGTTGAGTTCCTGTTCAAATAAACACAAGAGAAGTTGTAGACTTCTTACTAATTATGCAAGTGTTCAGATTAGTAACAAATAAGTTGATTGTAATTTTTTTTTAAAAATATCTAAATATGTAAGATAATTAATAACACATAATTCTGTTCAGGTAAGAAGGGGTGTGATATACACATTAACTTGCATTGTTAAGTTTTAGCCATGCTATGATCATGAAAATACTCAATCTGATTACTTTTTAATTAATTGAGGCAATTATGCAGAACATACAATACAAATGAATTCATCAAATTTCTATAGAGAGAGAGAGAGAGAGAGAGAGAGGATATTCAATGTTTTGTAGATGCATGACTATAGAATTTATTTTACGAGTGGGACAGGATTTTTTTTTATATTTTCACGAGTGCAAAGCACGAGTGAAAATATCAAAAAATCCTGTCTCACGAGTGAAATAAATTCCATATTCATCTACAAAACATTGAATTGTCTGTTTATTGTATTTTCTTAGATTTTCCCTTCGCCTCTGTCTTTTCGTAACACAGTGTCATACGTTGTGACGTCATAGTTGAGCGGTTGAGACGTCATAGCTAAGCGATTGTGAGATTGAAAAACGTTGTAAAGATTGAATTTTTAACGACATATGTGGAAAATCTTTGGCAATTTAACTATTAGTTTCTGTCAGGATGGCTCATTAACTCTATCTTATAACAGGCCAGGGATTTTTTTTTAACAACACTCTTCTTGAAGGGAAGAAACGTCGTAAGTTTTGCCGCACTTCTGATATTCTCACACTGTGAGAATACCATTTTGATATCCTTTCACTCTGTGTCAGAATATCACTTTTATTCAGTAAAATAATCACAGTATTTCACTGTTGAAAATGTAATAAATATATATATAATCATAATGACTGGCAGTTGTATGTTATTTCATATTTAAAAATAGATCGTCATCAAAATACATTTTAAAAGCCCTATAGCCATCATTCATATATTTATGCACATTTGTGTACATCGACAACCTGTCCCACTTCTATGCTGATATGGATACTTTTTGTGCCTCTATTGTTGAAGAGCTACAATCTTGAAACTTGCGTATTGAAAATGCTCACAAAAATGTTTCTGAATTCACAAAGTACCTGGTAATGTGTCTTTACCGAACATATTTCTTCAAAGTTCATCATTATAGTTAATCATATTATATAGGGAAAATTATTGAATCTAATAAATTTTATACTTCTTCAGATTTTAAAAGTGAATAAAAGCACCAACTATGCATTTTCTAATAGAAAATTGATCAACAAATATATTTTAGAATAAAAACTATGGGTAGCCAGGTATTCTACTTACAATGTATATTGTATTTAGTTCCTCTATAATTTACTTCAATTGTTATATATAATTCACATAAGTGTAAAAAGCTTGTTCTATCATTGCAAGATGTCACAGATGATGATCACTTCTAATTTCATATCAAGCTAATAAGCATTGGTATCTAAGGCTAGATTAATTAAAGAAAATCTGATTTCTCTATAAAATAATTTCTTTACTTTTATCATGTTAATTGGATACAAAATTCACTTTTTACAAGTACACTTCTAGATTTCAGGGAACCTAATAAAATCATGTTGAAATGAGTGAAATGAAAATTGTTGCACGAAAAGATTTCAAATTTCATTTTGATACTTTTTTTTATTAAATAATAATATTAAGAGTTATAGTTCCAGGCTAAGGAGCAGATCTCCTTAAAATATCAATTAACTTTAATTTGATTTTAATGAAGCAATTTCATCTTACTTGCATTACTCCTCGCCTCCAATTCCAACCCAATAAAGGATAAGTTCAAGCTTGACCTATCTTATAATAGTGAAAAAAATTGGTGCTCCTTTTTTAGAGATTAAAGGCAATTTGAATCTCTGAGACCTATCCATTATCCATTTGTTATTTTGACATGTTTTGTAATTTTTCTCAATCTAGATTATCTTAGTAACCAAAAGTATTTATACCCTGTACCAGATGATTTTGGCAGTACACTGTACAGTAAAACTCGCTATAAGTTATAGCGAAGTTCTGGGGACCTGCTAATTCACTTGGCTATATCCGTAATTCGTTATATCACATAATAAATTCCTTAAAGTGTATATAGCGAATTCATAGTATAGATTTTTTTTTCCTTCAAGTGTGTCTATCAAATGTAATTAGGGAAGTATATTATACAAAATTTACTTTGGAGTTCAATAGTTTTTGTAAGAATTGAGTTTCAAATATAAATACTTACAAAATTATGTCAGTTCAATATTTTAAAAATTTAGATCTTTGAAAAATCGCTATAAAAGATGTAATTTTCATTATTTTTAACTTCTAGTGGACCCATGTTCAGTTCACTATAACCATAAATTCGCTATATTTGAGATCATTATATCCATAAAATTTTACAAGGAATTTTTAAGAATTTTGTCAGGGATTGCAAAAAACTTCAATATATATATTCGTAAATTCGCTATAAATCCGTGTTTGTACTAAACAAGGTTTACTGTACATGGATCATCAATAAAATATGACAAGAATTTAATCCTATAAATATTCAAGTACAATAAATGGTTTTTTTTATTTCTTTAAAATAATGAACATGTTTTGAACATAGCAATTGATTCTAACTGTACTTAACATTCCAATGTTTAAACCCCCCATACTAACAATTCAGTGATTAGCAAAACTATGTCAGAGCCATTCTACAGTATGACACTGCTTATAACCAAAATATTTGCTGTCAGGACAATATCTGGCTAATGTTGCACTGGTGTCAAAATCAATGGGCATTTTTGCATTGCAGAAAACTTAAAAAAATTTCATAGGTGTATATATAAATGAATTCTATTTCAGTTTGTTAAAGTTTATGTAATGAACAAATTTTCATTGTTTAAAACATGATGGGCAATTAAATGCATGTAGGTCAAACATGCATATATGCAGCAAGTAAGACTAATGAATGAATGAAGATGTATATATATATATATATATATATATATATATATATATATATATATATATATATATATATATATATATATACATTAATTTTGTTGATGTCTTGAAATTTTCTAAATATATAATCACCTATTACTTTTACTTGTTCGTGTTTTATACTTAGCATATATATATTCAGTCAAGTTTGGTTTTTCACTGACAACAGTAAATTGTTTTAAATTATAGAGAATACTCACTCAATGATGCAGTGTGTCAGTGTTCCATTGTCATTTATCCCCCCCCCCCCCCATATACATTTGCTTTTTACAGTTTATAGCATATTGTACAGTTGCATGAAAAGACAGGCCTGTATGTTAACTTCTCAAAGGAATAAGTATTTAATTATGCCATGACAACCATTAAAAATCTTATAAGTATTTCAATTACTGTCATTGCAATTTAATTTAGATCAATATAAAACGTTGCCAATGACACATGTGCAGATTTCAAAATATTTTTGTATTGATCTGTATGACATCAGTATCAGTCACTTAATCAATAAAGGTGTGTCTAATTTACCATCAGGTAGGATGTAATCTACTCTAGTTACACACACATGTACAGGTGTGTATTCACCTTAGTCAATGGCATTACACAAAATGAGTAATCATGTAACACCAACCACTCAACTTCCTGTCTCTTTCACTGCGACACAAAGAAATTACCATTACTTTCAACAGGTACTTAATATTAAATTTATTGCCAACATCTTTCATTAAGAGGCCTATCTTTGACTGCTTTACTATCAAAAGTGAATAAACATCATTTCATACTGGAAATGATTTAGACTCAAGTCGTAAAACTTGTCCAATCTCAAAATATCAATATAACAATTTGTATAAAATATATTATCTCCACAGCAGGTCGTATTGCTTAGAATCATAATTAAAATACACTTTCACAAAACTTACTAATACTACTATTAAAAATTTGGTTTTTTTTAGTTCAAATAAATATGTCAATGAAATTCAGCATTATATGTTCAAATACATCTAGAATTCTAAATGATATGGCTTACAAGTATATTATTCATTTTAAACATCCACTCAGACTATGATAAGCATATAAGCATGCTATATATTGTAAATATGAGCTTTCAGTATCAAAAGCCCCTAAAAAATTCATGACCTGATGGATACCCAACTAACGAAACATAAGAACCTCTAATTCAATCTGCCCTTTGTGTCGATTCCATTTCCCCACTAAGATTTTCTTTTCACCACTGATTTTCTTTATCCCGATATTAAATTTCAAGACATGAAATCTCAATTGTTATCTCATACATAACACAGCATTTGTGATCAGCCATTGCTAAAGTTAAAAACGCAGTTATCTTCTAATGATCTAAATATATATTAAAGTCTATGATCAATTTCAACATCTGCAAGATGCCAATAATGAAATCATTTTGATCATTGAGTAATGAAACCAAAAAATGAATTAAACACTTTTTAAATGAAAGATTTAATTAAAAAAAAAAACAAAAATCAAAAAAAAAAAAAAAAAATGTGTACATCATTTTTTTTTCTTCAATTTATTTCTCAATGAAGAAATTTTTTTTATCAATATTTGAATTGATCCTATATTATCCAGTAAAATCATATTAATTATGACTTCTGACAATACCTCAAATTTACAAAACCAATATGGAGCAAGTCAACCAACCTTTGGTAGATATCATCATGATCATGTATTACTCTTCTGCATTGCAAATCAAAATAGTATTTGGGGATGCAGTTTAGTGGTCAAATATATATATATATATATATATATATATATATATATATATTTATCCTGCAACTACCCCTTATATTGACCTAATAAAGGTAACCTAATAAACCAAAGCTTTATTCAGTCAATGCCCTAATAAAGCCTCGTGCACGTATCGGTATTTTAACGTTCTAAAAGTATTGTGACGTCATGAATATTGTAATGTTTACACCATGGCGTCTTAGTTTCAGCTGCAGAGATGTGCCTAAATCGGTAGAAACAGCTCGTTTTGGAGGTCATGTAAAAATGTGTTGCAGGATAAACAAAATACATGGAGACTGTCTTGAATTATAAGCGATATTTGGGCTCGGGTCAAAAACGTGATTGAGGGCTCGGCAAGCCTCGCCCTCTATCACGTTTTCTTACCCTCGCCCAAATATCGCTTATATTTCAAGACAGTAACCATGTATTTTATATATAGATATAGATATAGATATAGATATATATATATATATCAGCCCTTGCATCCAGGTGAGGTAAAAGGACCCTAAATTGAAAAGTTACTCTGTTTCACTCAAAATTTAGGTAAAATTCCCAAATGACAAGCAGATCAAATTTTTTCAATGCAAAAAAGAAAAAAATTCTAATTTTGAGATTTCAATGATCATATAGATGTGAAAGTGTATACTAATTAACCTTCATTGAAACTAAATCTTAAACTTAATATTAAGACACTTAAATATTTAAAAATTGTCAGTGCCACATTTTTTTTTCTTTTTAATAAAATTTCAAAATGATTAACAGAGCTCCAGATAATTTTTTACCTCAAAGTGTATTTACTCCCTGATTTTGAAATCAATGCAGATTTTGCTTTTCAGCAAAAAAATCAAAGAGTATTATGTTAATCAATTGCTCTTTTGACATCTAATGTTGGACAGTGATCAGAAGTGGCGGCGGGAATGTTCGAGTAACTGCCGTATTGCGTTTTCAACAAGATTTTTAGCTTGTTATCGATATAAGTGTTTTTGAAAGAGGAATGTAAAAGAAATGTTAGTTTCTGCATTTATCAATTAGGTTAATGAAATTTAAAAAAAAATTGTCAGCTTTTAGGTATAACTGAGAAACATTTCGTTTTTTTTTTTTTTTTACCAGAAAGACCATACGATAGGCAAAGTTACCAGGGGCACGCTGAACTCCATTTAAGACTAGGCCTATATCGATCGTAGCAAGAGATACCGAGACCTTTGGCCAAATAAAATTAATCTTTAGATTCTAATCCCCACCTGCCCCTCTCAAAATATCCAGCCCCGTTGTTTTCCATGTTGTTTGTTTGTTTGTTTTTTTAATCAGAAATATATACTAGGTTTTGCTATATAAATTGTTGGCATCGATAGAGGTAAAAGTTTTAAAGTTTTCTCCCCGTTTGCATTAAAAGTCGCGTGGTGCTATTTATAGCACAAGAGCATGTGAAAAGCAAAAAAAGCAATATTATTTTCATACAATTAATAAAACTTGTCGGCGGACTATAGATGATATTGTTGCTACAGAAAATGGTTAATATACAAGAACTGTTTAATAAACAGTGATAAAGATTTAATTACACACAACGCGTGTTCAGTTTTGTCCAATTTTGACAATATCACCTGAACGCGTCAAAAACGAAAATTTGGATGTTATATGAACGGTGGAAATCTGTGATATTTTCAGACAAAGTACGAGTATTTAATATTCAAATCTTTCTCTCGAAGTGGAAATCGGTCTAGGTTATTCCAAATACGCTTAATCAAAATTTCCTTTTGATAAAAATTCAAACACTGAGCTGACTTCAATTCACATAATGAGTTAAAATCCAATCCATTGTACGCAGTACTTTCGTAGTGTAATGCTTATTTATGATTGCTAATGCGTAAATGTATGCCCTGTTTTAAATTTTAATGCGTATTTTGAAAAATTCAATGCATATTTCTGCAAATACGCACCTTATCTGGAGCTCTGGATTAAGCCCTGTACATATCAATTAGACATGCAAAAGAGCAGTACCATAAAAATTGTTAAAGAGTACGTTAAAGCAGCTAGACCATTTTATTGTTATATCTTCTGAAAAAATTTATATGAAAATCACTTCCATAAAACTAATTTTGAGTCAATTGTCAGAAATAAAGCACTTTAATTGTCACATATATTGTTGGGGTCTTAAAAAAATTCATAATTTCATAATTAAATTTCTTAACAGTAACTACAATAAAATGCAAATTTTGCTGTCTTCTACCAAAAATTACTTCTTTTGTGTCCAATACTATATTAAACAAAAAAGACATTAATATTAGCAGCTATCACTTGTCGTGATAATGCACAGGAAATATAGTTCTCTTCAAAGATTCTCAGACACTATACTCTCTATATAACACTATAAATATATTTTACTCTTCGGACTATGGGACTAAAGTGACACTCCTTCTAGGCCCAGTCATCATTCTTTCCCTTCTACGCCTTTCCCCAAATTCTTAATCAAGGTGGCCACATTTGAAAGACAGGACGTTTTACCTTTGCAAACCTCTTTTAAAACTATTGAAACTACGTCAAATGCTTTAGTTTTTTTTTACTTGTTAAGGAAGTGAAAGAAAAAAACATGTATATTTACCGGAGTCATTGTTTTGATAAATAATAAAATAAGTACGCTCAACTTTGAGCAGGTATTTTTCAGGTATTGACTTACCTTGATAATTAATAACTGATAAAAATAAAATAAATGATAAACTTCGAAATAAATCCATGTTTTTCATTATATTAATACAGCTTATTACTCAATCCTTTGCACAAGAAAGTCATGTAATATTAGAATGTTTTCAAACAACGACTGCCATATTGAGTCACTTCCCAGATCCCGTCATGCATTGCGACAGGTGACCGAAACTTTACCTGAGCGTAGGAGCACCTTGAGGAGCGGATCTCTCTTTTTAAATTTGTTGACGTTATGAAAAAGAACTGCTTCTTAATACGACAAGACTTGCGAGACTGTTCATAATTTTGGAATTGTGCAGTAAAGTTACTGTATAATCTAACCACATTACCCCTTTTATTCTTTTTCAAAGGAATGAAGCTACTTGGTCTTCAGTTGAATTTTCCTCAGATGATTCTTTTTTACTCCATCTTGAAAGATTGATCTTCATACTCATTGATTTTTTAAATGCACGGATACTCCATAAAAATATTTTTTATAGACATCGATGCATGTAACATGTGTAAGCCTTTATTAAATTTAAAGACTGTATGTCGTGTTACAGTATTACAGCAACCATCAAGGGAAGAAACTCTCTTATCTCAATGTCAGTAAAATAAAGTTTACTTAATCAATAAAGTACCTAAACAAAGTAAACTTTATTTTACTTTTATCACTGTCATATCAATAATTATAATTCTATAATTCTTTTTCTGAATATATGAGTATAGTATTTCGCTGTAGTAAATTTTCCTTTAGATCATGGTAACCCCCAACCCCCACTTTTTTTGCTGAAGGTGAAAGGTTGGATTCCAGGAATTGAACATGCAATAAGTTTTCTTTTCTTTTTTTATGCCCCCGTATCGAAGATTCGGAGGTGTATAGTTTTTGCCCCGTCCGTCTAGCTGTCTGTCTGTCTGTTTGTCTGCAAAAACTTTAACATTGCTCATAACTTTTGCTTGGTTGGAGCTATGGCTTTTATATTTCACTTGTGTATTCCTTGTGACAAGACCTTTCTTTGGGTACCATCATGTTTGACCTTTTGACCTTGACCTTGGAGTTTGACCCATTTTTGCAAAACTTAAACCAACTTTAACCTTGGCCATAACTTTTGAACACTTGGTGCTAGGGCTTTCACACTTCACATGTGTTATCTTTGTGACAAGACCTTCCTTAGGATACCAACAACTTTGACCCTTTGACCTTGACCTACGAGTTTGACCTACATTTGAAAAACTTTAACATTGGCCACATATTTTGAACGGTTGGTGCTAGGGCTTTCATTTTTCTCACATATGTAATCCTTGTGACAAGACCTTCCTTTGGATACCAACAAATTGATCTTGACCTTGGAGTTTGACCTACTTTTGGAAAACTTTAACCTTTGCCATAACTTCTGAACAGTTGGTGCTAGGGCTTTCATTCTTCACATGTGTAATCCTTGTGATAATCCCTTCCTTTAGATAGCACAATTATAGCCCATTAACCTTGACCTTGGAGTTTGACCTACTTCTGTAAAACTTTAACCTTGGCATTTCTTTAGAACAGTTAGTTCTAGAGCTTTCATACTTCACATATATAATCCTTGTGACAAGACCTTACTATGAATACCAACAACTTTTGCCCTTTGACCGTGACTTTGGAGTTTGACCACTTTTGAAAAACTTTAACCTTGGCCATATCTTTTAAACGGTTGGTGCTAGGGCTTTCATATTTCTCATGTGTATTTCTTGTGAGAAGGTCTTTCCTTGGGCACCATTAATTTTGACCATTTGACCTTGACCTTGATAATTGACTTACTTTTGAAAAAAAACTTTTACCTTTTCCATATCTTTTCAATTGTTGCTGCTAGGGCTTTCATATTTCACAGGTATATTCCTCGGGACAAGACTTTACTTTTGGTACCAGCATATTTGATTTGCATTTGAGAAAGTTTAACCTTCGTTATAAGTTGCCATACGGGGCATGAGTGTTACACAAACACATCTTTTTTTTTTTTTTTTGGCTTGTCAGATTTTTTGGAAGATGTCCCCATCCCCTTTTTTAAAACCGTTGCTACGAGCCTGCATGAAAAGGGTTTTTGTGTTAGAAATAAACGAAAGAAAGCTAGATAGGTTTCCCCCTTTTTTCTACGTAATATAAGGTAAATGACTACTGAAATAAATAAATATAAGAAAAAGAATTTTAAAAAAAACCTTTGCCTTTTTCACTTCACTAGCAGTTTCAACGCAAGATGAACAATGACACCTTGGTTTGTTAATTTTAGTTTTTCCGCTGATATGATCTTCATGTTTTATCAATAAACACGACACTTTTAACCCTTGGCCAGATCTCTGGATTTACTCAACAGTTTTGGCATGTTTAATGAGCCTCCACTTTTAAATATTTTTTTGGATGAAAAGAGTTGTAAAGTAATGAAATACAGTATTTTTTTAAATTCAAAATTATATACATAGTACTTTATTAATGAATAACCTATTTATATCTTTTACATTCGTCATAAAAAAATAATGTACATATGCCCCGAATAAGGAACTGCTTTTTGTTGTACAATCTTACCAAAAGAAAGATCGATACTCTATATATGACATAAATATTTTCATAACTTTTCATAATAAGCCGCATTTTCTAAAGAACATATTCTATTATTCAAAGAAATAATGCAAGTCTTTTAAAATACCGAACGGAAGCCAGCGCTATATACGTTCAGGCCATAATACTGTTCCGAGGCCCCCGGAGGCGATAAATCGAACACATTTCTGTTTATCCAGAACATATGTAAAACATAATTATACCGTACCTGCTCCACAGCTTGACTAAAGATAAAGGAAAACAATAATCAATTATGAAAGTCCTCAAGTGAAATGTTTCAACATGTGTGTGTAATAATAATGTAATACCCTTCGTCGGAGTGTACAGTAGTTGTCAGAAGTCATGAGTTTCAATCATTCCCGCTTCTAGAAAGCACAATATCAATGGCATGTGATTATATATAGCAGCCAGATGCTACTGACCAAACTAGAACCAATGTCCTTTATGTTGCACCCCTCTTCCTAAAATACCGTCTCTTCACAAGTGTGCCAAGGAGATGCAGATAAAATCCAAAGGATAAGAAAATGGAAAAAATAATTGAAAAAAAAAACTTCCTATTTTGACTTATTTTGCCTTCGGTATTTTTATCCCATATTTTTGGGAAATTTACAAATCGCATAACTCATACATTAAAAATCGGAACGATGTAGCCTGCTAATCGGTGGGATTTATATTTTATTTACATAATTCAATGCATGAATATAAGTAAAAGAAATCATAGCTTAGCGTTATTACATACTGAAATTTCTTAAAAGTATTAAAAGACTTTTTAATGCACAAACATACGTACCTACCCCAAAAAGAGAGTTCGGGAATTATTTTGTTTCGGCCATGTTTTGAACCATATTTAAGACAAGGTAACCTGAACCATTGGCTCAGGTGAGCTAATAACGTAAGAGTGTCAAGCTCTAAACCTATTTCTTTTGGTTGTACTAATTCTTGAATTAATCATATATTTGAATGTTCTTCAACTATACGTAAGCTTGAAACTAGAAAACGGACACTATATTGTCAGAGAGGATCCTGCTTAGGACTGTCATATGTATAGGAAAACGACAATTCAGTGTACTTCATATTCATATTTAATGTTTAGAACACAATATATCACAGGGAAGGTGACATGGAAAAAAATCACTAATACATTTCTACAACTATTAAGTTTTATCTGAGTTATCACATCAATACAAAAGTTTTGGCAGACATACAGGTGAAAACACCACCAAATTAATAGGCGTCTTTTTTATATGGTCAGCTCCTTCTCTAAATTTGAAATGGTTATAATAAAAAAAAGTTTAAGTTATCGAGTGATGACCAATGTAATTCAGACATATACAGATAGAAATGATATGACTCCAAAATTGATAGGTGTAATCCTGTCATAGTGAAGTACTTCTGCACGACATTTGAAAACGTTACGATGAAAACTGTGTTTGCGTATGCATTCGAGCACACATACACACAGACATACAAAGCAATATGACTCCAAAATGAATAGATGTCTTCCTCTCATAGTAAAGTACTTCTGTACAAAATTTGAAAAATTGTTTGACACATCGCACCACAATGAAAGTGATCATGGATACATATTCGAACATACACACAAACAGATAGACAGACAAAGTAATATGACCCCAAAGTGTTTAGGTGTCTTTTTTTAATACATACGTAGTAAAGTACTTCTGTACTTTAACAGTTGGAGTTACCGGCACAACGAAAGTGTTCAAGTTATACATTCAGTCACATGTACAGAAAGACAGACAAAAAGATACGACTCAAAAATGCATACGTATCTTCCTCTCAGTACAAATTTGGAAATATTTCTTTGAAAACTGTTTAAGTTTTTGCATCACAAAGACAGTGTTGGCGAAGAGAGAGACGGGTGGACAGTGTGATTCCTATAGGGCTCCCGCATTTCAAAAAAAAAAAGAAAGAAAAAAATACCAAATAAAAAATAAAAAACATGATACATTTTTCACTTCATGCTTCATAATATGATCCAAGGTAGTTCGAAGTCTTTATATGTGTTCCCAATAAACGGGGAAAATGATAATATAGCAGAAGTCAAATCTCCTTTGAACTTGCCTTATATATAGATATACAAATACTCTAAACGCTATAATGAAAGATTTTTTTGAGCTTTGAAAAGTTGTATATAAAGTTGTACATACTGAGTTTATCTAGTTTGTATACTGAGTTCATCTAGTTTGTATACTGAGTTTACATGTATCTAGGAACTGAAGTTATAATAGCAGGTGTCCTTTAGATTGCAATAAGGATTCAGAATTTCATCCTGCCGATCAGTTGGACTACATTTTCAACAAAGACGTGATTCCCCGAATTCCAGGTTTCGGATTTTTTCATTTTCACCCAGAAAGAGGACAATTGATGCACAAAAATTATTTTCATATACTGTAGAGAGGCAATCTCTATAACTTAACAAAATCATAAAAATGATATCAGATATCAGGATAATGGTATGATAGGCCTTCGTGTATTTTTGATAAGTTATCGTGTCAAATAAAAAAAAAAAATCCCAGAAGGGGCCCGGGGGAGGGTGTGTTACACCATCCATACGTCAGCTGCTTGTGTCCTGTACATGTGCAATAAGATTTCAGCTTTTTCATTTGCAACCAGGGGGGCAAAGGGGACGAAAAACGACTTTTTACTATAAAAAGTTGATTCTCATAACTCCTTTTACATTTTACACAGTAGCTAAATCATCTTCTGGAATTTGATGCTATTTTGTAAATATTTTTATATGGAAGGCCAATTTGGGGACAAAAACGAGTTTTCCCCTCCGCAAAAAGCATATTTCTAGAATCCGTCTCCACTAACATTTTACGTAATAGAAGTAAATATAATCTTTTGGAATGTGATTCTTGGGGCTAGTTGTGGGCCGAAAAAAGATCAATGTTCCAAGAATTCCTTTTACATTGTACCTATAACCAATTATAATGTAGATATGCTGTTTTATCCAGCCACAAGGCCAACGATGAGTGAACAAGAGGCCCATGGACCACTCGCTCACCTGAGCCCATTGGCTAGAAAAAAGCAGAAATCAGTCCAGTATTGAAAAGTTTACGGGGATGGGGTAGGGGGGGGGGACTTTAAATTTACACTACCTCAGGATGTTTCTATGATATTAATATTACTAATCATGGCTTTGGTGTTCCTGAGCAGAAGAATTTAAAGATTTTTCCCCCTACGTATTCCTATATAAAACTTTCATCGTTCATTGTGGCCCCATCCTACCCACCCTTAATTTGAACAAATTTGAATCTACATTACCTGAAGATGCTTCTATAATAATATGACTAATCATGGCTTTGCTGTCATTTTTGACATTTTTTTTCCAGATGATTCCTATATATTCTTTATGCAAAACTTTGACCCTCTGTTGTGCCCCCAACCCCTGGGGGTCATAATTTGAACAAACTTGATTCTACAATACCAAAGTTGCTTCTGTATGAATATGACTAATAATAGCTAAGTTTTCTTTAGAAGAGGATTTTTAAAGATCATTCCTATATAATGTGTATGATCAGGTTCTTACAAAGGATTTATTAATAGCTTTTTCTTTTCCTTTGTCTGAGTTAATAATTGGAATGTTTATTAAGACTGCTTTACATGTACCTGAGGGTAAATCACACAGTACTAAAATTTTTCTCTTATCTAGAGACGGGGACTGAGTAAGGTACTACGTGTACAGTGTTTCTCCCCTAGGTTCTTATTGATAGAAAAAAAACTGGGTGTCTCAATCTTCTTCAGATTTACTACAACCAGAACTTAACATCAATTCCCTAGGATACTTGACACTAGTGCTTATAACTATTATACTTATATTTTGCTCTTACCCTTAATTTCTTCAGTGCTGATTCAAAGGCCAACTTCTGAATGCCTGACTTTCTCAAAGCTTTGCCTATTATACCCTTTGGCCAATCCATTCCAAGGATTGTAAGGTCATTCCACTATTTGAAGTCTTCAATGCTTTTCACGAAAACGTCCCTTGATCATTACACCTGTATATTCCTATGTAAAACTTTGACCCACTGTTGTGGCCCCGTCCTACCCCTGGGGGTCATGATTTGAACAAATTTGAATCTATACTACCTGAGGATACTTCTATACTAATATGACTAATAATAGCTTAGTTGTTCCTGAGAAGAAGATTTTTAAAGATATTTCCTATCGACATTCCTATGGTTAACTTTGACTCCCTGTTGTGGCCCTGCCCTACCCCAGGGGTCATGATTGGAACAAACTTAAATCTACACTACCTGAAAATATTTCTATAATAATTTGACAAATCATAGCTTTGCTGTTCTTGAGAAGAAGAATTTTAAAGACATTTCATATATATTCTTATTTAAACTTTGACTCCCTCTTGTGGCACTGTCTTACCCTTGGGGGTTATGATGTGAACAAACTTGAATCTAGAGTATACATTGAAGCTTTCACTTAAGTTTCATCTTCTCTTGCCCAGTGGTTCTTGAGAAGAAGATTTTTAAAAGATGTCACCAAATTTTCTCGAATTCTTCATTATCTCCCCTTGAAAGAGGGCGTGACACTTCCTGTGAACAAACTTAATTCCAATTTACCCAAGGATGCTAGATCTCCTCTTAAATTTTACACAGCAGCCAACTCATCTTGTGAAATATGATTGGCGGTGGTCTATTTATGTGCAATATATGGTTTCGGAGCAGGAGCCTGAAAAACGACGTTTTACTGAGTACTAACAAAATTTGGTTCCCAGGGTCCAGGGCCATAAAACTTAGACGAGCTCACTTTTGATCTCAGTCTCACTTTTACCAAAGGAATTCATAGTGGAAAAGTGAGACTGAGATCAAAAGTGAGCTTGTCTAAGTTTTAAGGCCCCGGGGCCAGAACTCACCTTGCCAAATCATCTTTTGGAATGCAATTTGTGTAGGGAAACGACGCCTCCATTCAAAACGATATTCCCAGAATTCCTCAAGTGCATTTCATTTTCGGATAAAATTGATGGTTTCCTGTAGATGTTACTGTGCAAGTATCACAACACTTAAACAAGAGTATTCCAATCCTGCTCAATTTGATACATGTACAAGTTTAAGAAATTAATTACATGGCTAAAATGTTCATTACGTTGGAAGATGAACTTGATTTTATGTGATCAAACCTACTGAGAAGCCCGAAGTTTGTTGGTAACACAAGACAGAGTAGATTTAGAGGTAACATTTATGTGCGGACATTACTTTCTTATATGCCAGCATCAAGTTTTTATTGGATAAAAAGCTCTTGAATTTCCTTTTTTTTGGGAATAACTTGGTTGTTGGTTGGATTCAAGTAACCACTAATCTAAATTCGACCTTTTTACAAATCAATGTATTTTAATGACATATTTGGGATCTTTATTATATATCACACTCGAATAAAATCATAATACCCTACATTATTCCATTCCTTTGTATTATTTAAACACTGATTATCTATACATTAGTATTTTTTTCACTTGTTTAAATAGGCCTACTCCATAAGAATGTTTTAAATATATATCATAAAAACAAAACATGGTTGAGAATGCTTTTACATTTCAGTATACTTGTGGACAGGACCCTTTACTCCCCAAATGAAATATATGATTTATCAAGAGCAAAAAGAAAGAAAGACCTGGGGTGAGTGAAATGTGAGGGTTGATGTCCACAAGTACTTAAGTCCCATGTGTGTTTACACATGTATATATGTTAAAAAAGGTAATTGAACTAACAAAGATCGTTCAATTTTTTTTCTCACTTTTTTCACCAACAATTATTCAATATTTTATAACCAAAGGAAATGAATATGCATAATGAATAGTTAACAAGAAATTCTTCTAAAAAATAAATTAACTGCATGAAAAACTTCAAATTTACTTTCCCTCATTAAGTAAACCTCATCTCTTAAATGCTTGCACAAAAATTCATATTAAGGGTAAATTCATATAAAGAGTCAAAGAGAGTATGTGATCAAAGCTACTGAGAAGCCCAAAGTTTGCTGGTTACAAAAGTACAGAGTAGTTTAGAGCCAACATTTATGTGTGAATATTACTTTCTTTTGACAACATCAAGATTTATTGGACAAAAGCCCTGGAATTTCGACACTTTTAAAATAATTTGGATGTATCTCGAACACTTTATTTCGAATACCATGGATACATGTATGTCGAAATAATTTGGAGGTCTTAACGACTCATTCTTTTATAGGTATTTAAACCTCGATATCTTGAATCTTCAGATATCTCGAAGTTTTTTCTAGGTCCCATCAACTTCGAGATAACGAGGTTTGACTGTATTACCTAAACACTTGTTTCTACACATTTGTATTTTTCTCCACATGTGTAACTATCAAGTACTTCATAAAAATGTCTCGAATATCATGAAACAAAAACATTTCTTAATTTAATCTATCGTGGTTGTGGATGCTTTTCCTTCTACATTTCATGTACTTGTAGACAGGACCCCTCACTCCCCATAAATATGATTTTTCAAAAAATAAAAAATAAAATTGACCTGGGATGAAGTAAGAAGGAGGAAGGGGTTGCTGTCCATGAGTACTCAAATCATGTGTGTGTTTATATACACTGTATAATGTTCAAAAAGGTATTTGAACCAAAAACAAAGATCTTTCAATTTTTCACTTTTATTTTATTATTATTATTATTTTTTTTTTACATATAAACATCAACAACAATTTTCTTCAATATAATCTAAATATAGGAAATGAAGATGCATATATAATAAATAAATAGCTAACAAGAAATTCTCCTTCAAAATATATTAACTGCTTGAAAAACTTCAAATTTACTTTCCTCATTAAGCAAATCTCATCTCAAATGCTTTGCACACAAATTTATACTTGTAAAGAGACAAAGAGAAGTTCCTTCATTCAAACATACAAGTGAAGAAATTGGAAAATACACCTTGCCAATTAATTAAATGTATGAAGAAATGATCACCTATAAATGTACAATATTCTATATAGTGTGTGTACCTTTTAATCAAAACTTGGCACAAATGTAGGTCAGGAACTACCTGGCTCAATTATGAATAAGTGCTACCAGTATTTTTTGTGTATTAAATTATACAAAATCATATTTGAGTGGGAATTAGCTCCTAAACGATTACTCCGAAATGTGCCACTAAAATAAGTACACATATAGTATCTAGTCTTTACAAGTCTTATGAATAGAAAAGGAAAGAATCTGTATAAAATCCAGTTTTATAAAATAAAAGTTCCCTTCTTTGACCATTACAAATACCCTGGTAATTTTTATGCATTAACATTTACCTCCTATCAGTTTTTATTGATTTATATAATAAAATATTATATAAAAACAAATTCAAGCAATATATTATGAAAAATAACATGCCATATTGATAACATATATGACTGCAATGTTACAATAAACATTTAATAATAAACTTGTAATCTTGTATCCTATATAAAATGATTGTTTTAAATATGGATAACTCACAAAAGTATTCAATTTAACATCAGCATTAAGTTCAATCAAGAATTACTTAAATATGTGCTCTCTCTCTCTCTCTCTCTCTCACACAATGCACAAATGTATACGTTATCAACACAAGAGTCCCATGGGCCATAATGCTCACCTGAGTACCAATATCAATTCTTCTTCAGATTCTTTTTCCTAAGTATTCCTATGTAAAACTTTGATTGCCAATTTTAGCTCCACCATACCCCCTGGGGATCTTGATTTAAAAAAACTTGAATCTACACAACCTGAGGATGGTTCCATATAAATTTAACTAATCATGGCTTTCCTGTTCTTGAGAAAAAGAGATTTTTCCTATGTACTCCTATGTAAAACTTTGATTGCCCATTATGGTCCCTCCCTGCCCCAAGGATTATAATTTGAACACTTAAATCTACACTACCTGAGGATGCTTCTATATAAATATGACTAATCATGACTGCCATTCCTGGAAAGAGGATATTTAAAGATTTTTCCTGTGTATTCCTATGTAAAGTTTGAATGCCCATTGTAGCCCACTCTGCCCCTGGGGGTCATTATTTGAACAAACTTGAATCTACACTACCACAATGCTTCCATATAAATATGACTAATCAGAACTTTCCTGTTCTTGAGAAGAAAGATTTTTCTGAAGTATAATGTAAAACTTTGATTGCCCATCGTGGCCCCAATCCGGGGGGGGGGGGGGGGGGGGGGGGGGGTGTCATGATTAAAAAAAAATGAATCTAAACTGTTTTATTAAATTTCCACAGAAGTTTAATCTTTTCTGGCCCAGTAGTTCTTGAAAAGAAGAGTTTTAAATGACCCAACCTAATTTTTACTTCCTGTTTATTTGAACAAACTTGAATCCCCTTCACCCAAGGATACCCTGTGCCAAGTTTAGCTGAAATTGGTTCAGTGGTTCTGGAAAAGAAGATGAAATTATAACAAGGTTACAATATTAACGACAACAATGACAGAAAACGGACAAATTTTGATCATAAAAGCTCACATGAGCCTTTGGCTCAGGTGAGCTAATAACTATTATCTTTTTTAAAAAAATAGGTACAACATACATTTTCATTCAACAACGAACAATTGCTGAAATCATGTTATTCTACAGGGAAAAAAATTGTTTCTCTGAATGAAAAATAGTTTTTAAAACCAAGAACACTGGCAAAATGGATGATCTGAATCCACTGAAATATCTCACTTTGTCACCTTTGAAATGAAATAATATGTCACAAAGAAGAGCAACACCAGGCCCACTACAAGATAGCACATGAGTTTTCTGTTTCCTCGATTGGCCTGAACCATGTGAGACAGTCTGTGTACAGTTCCTCCTAAAAGTCCCTGTGTACTCTCAAAGTCACCACCCTGCAAAATGAAAAATATACTTTTGATCTGTATACATTACTATACTTCTCAATTCAAGGCATTGCTCATGAACATTGAAAATATACAAAAGTCTCTATATTTTCATCATATGTCAAGATGAATTTAATAAACAGATCTGTGTTTAGAGTACTATACAAAGCTCAAGATTTTTTGGAGATGATTACCATACTATCCAAGTATCTGTTTGAATCTGTTGCTTCATCTTCAATATCCAAGGCCAACTAACAAAGAAAATTATTCTTTTATATATCACAAATACAGTATTTCCCCTAAGACCTGGCTACTGGCCATATTAACCACTTTAAAAATTGATAAAATGCTGCTTAGAAATCAAAAGATTAAAAAATAATTGTTGTAAGGTCCACAAAGATTTTGTTCATAAACCTCAACTCCTTGTTACAATTGATCTCTAACCCTTTACTGTGAAATAAAGGGAAAACACTGCAAATACATGGTTCAAACGAGTATCTAATTTTCAACTTTCTTGGAAAATCAACAGCTCATCAACAGGTGTTAAGAAACATGTACATATTATACTTGCATTCTTTAACCGTGACACTTTGCTGGCCAGATTATCCACTCTCTGCTGATTTTCATTGTCTAACATCTCCTCTGTTCTCGACATTCCTGAAACAGAAAAAGTAAATAAGCCTGACATTAGTGCTGGAGGTCTGAATATACTATGGGAGTCTGGGGACATTCCCCCCCTGGAAATTTTCAGAAAAATATAACAAAAATCTGCATTCTGAGAACTAATTTGGGGTCACTTCTAGAACTATCACAAATAAATATATTTTAAATGTTACTCGTATGTTAAATCAGGAAATTTTTTGTCAAAAAGGGGAATTTCGACATGTTTTAAAAAGGGGAAAGGTACCCTTTACTTGTAGTTAATAATAGTTGATAAATCCCTGTTGATAGTATAGTAAGTTAGTGATGGGGCATCGGTTAATTTTCACAATCGATCATCGGTTGGAATCGGTTAATGCTTCCGATGCGATTTTACCGATTATAATCGGATGTCATAGTTTTGTATATAAAAAGCAGACTATTACAATTATTTCATATTTTTTCTTTAACATGAATATATAAAATATATTGTTTTCTTTGTTTTTTTTGCTTCTTTTACACTTTCTATATATGCACCTTTTGGTTCTTAATCACCTCTGCTTCGTGCTAGTTGGCTAGTATCAGATGCAGACGCCATTTTCTTTCATTAAGAAGAAATAAATTTTAAACCAGAAATGGATAATTCCTGAATGTATTTTATTAGAGGTATGTTTCCGATGATCGATTATGAAAAATTATAATCGATCATCGGAATCGGTAGCATTTTTTCGTCGACAATCGATGTTTTCTGATTATCGGTACAACACTATAGTAAGTGCAGTCAAACCTCTTTATTTTAAACCAGATGAGACCCAGTAAAAACTTCAAGGTATCCCAAGAAACCATGGAATATATTAGAACATGTTACAAATAAACTGGATATTAAAGCAAAAAGAAAATTGGGGTTATATTGTTTTATTGAAAAAATTTGAAACAGCATGATACTTAGCTTTATCAGCCTAAAATATCTTCTTTTCTCAAAAAAGGGGGTGGGGAGCATTGGGGCAATTAAGAGTACTCTGTCATCCGCAAATTTCAAAAATAGCTGATAATGTTAAGTCAGCTAGATAGGCCTATTTTCAATTTGTAAAAAACGTAATCGATCGAGTTTACATACAACTACTGAAATCAAAACGTATTTTCTTGCATTTCGACATATTTCAAACTTTTATTTACACTGTTTCAACAATACTTTATGCCAGATTTTTAATTTAAACTCTTAAAAAAGACACAATGTGTAAAAAAAAAATGGTTTTTGTACCGTTTCTGTTACTTCTAAAGTCTGCCATGCTGTCAACCGAGTCATCAAAACAAATCAATGTCGCCTGAACGCTTCAAACTAAATAAAAACATTGACTGTAAACAACTATTTTCCGGATACATACAAAAAGAAGAATTATCATAGGTCCCTGGAATTATTCATCAAATTTTTCATCACAATATAGAAAGAAATCACAAAAGAAGACATACTTTATAGACCATTTATCACCACGATTACAAAAATTCAGAATAAAAAAATTACATAAAAGTATGCTGAAACTTTGAAAGTCCTTCTCAAAATGCAGGGTTAAAAAAGAATCAAACACAGAAGCATGCTTACACTAAATACGAAAAAATATGGCATGTCAAATGTTGCAATATTCGATCTTTTTTATTTGTATTGTACAGTTTTCCATTCATATTCTATAATTTTCCATTTGTATTGTATAATTTTTCATTTGTATTGTATAATTTTTTTATTTGTATTCTATAATTTTTCATTTGTATTGTATATTTTTTTCATTTGCATTGTATAATTTTCCATTTTTCCATTTCATTTGCATTGCATATTTTTTCATTTATATTGTATAATTTTTCATTTGTATTGTATAATTTCTCATTTGTATTGTACAATTTTACATTTGTATTGTATAATTTTACAGCAAAAATTTAAAGTATAAAATACAAAAGGAAAATTATACAACACAAATGAGAAATTATACAATACAAAAGAAAAATTATACAATGTATATGAAAAAATATACAATACAAATGAATAAATTATACAATTAATACAAATGAAAAATTATACAATACAAATGGAACACTAATACAATACAAATGAAAAATTATAGAATACAAATAAAAAATATATAATACAAATAAAAATTTATACTATACAATTGGAGAATTATAGAATAAAAATTAAAAAAAAAAAATACAATACAAATGGAAAATTATACAATGCAAATGGAAAAGATCGAATATTGCAACGTTTGACATGCCATAAAAAAGACAATTGCAATATAATTCTAAAATTGCTAACACGAATGAGAAACATTCCACATTCCAATGTGTTGCTTACAGATAAAGATTTACATTCAGTATAATTTTCTTCATGAAATTCATTGGAAATGTTCAACATTCAACCATACACTGAAAACTTAATTGTCGCGGAAGAATACACAATAGGAACTACATACACTTTCAATACACTAGGAACACCAAAATGTGTATTTCAATTAAAAACAACTAACCTATTAAATTGTTGTAAAAATAAAATAATTTTACGTTTAAAATTAAAATTAATTTGTCCCCCCCCCCTACAAACGGATTTAAGGGGCTTGCACAAAGATTTGAAATTAATATTTTCTCTAATTTTCGGTCAGGAGCAGAAAACATCAGCGGCGAGGTGAGAAGGAGGAGATGGAATTGGATCGGCCATGTGCTGAGGAAGGATCCAACAGATAACTGTGTTGTGGCCCTTGGGTGGACGCCTGAGGGGAGAAAGAAGCGAGGCCGCCCCAAGACAACATGGCGGCGGATGATGGAGGTGGAGCGGAATGATGCGGACTGGAAGTCTTGGAACCCGGCACGCCGTGCAGCCTCAGACCGGTCCCAGTGGAAGAGGGATGTTCAGGCCTTGTGTCTTCTTGCACGCAGAGAATTGAGGTTAAGGTAAGGTTAATTTTCGGTATAACATCACGACTTACGAGGGGTTATCAAAAAGTTCCCGGACTGATGCGATAAAATTAATACTATGTAGTCTACATGTGTACAAAATTTATAAGGCACATTAAACAACAAAAGTTTAAGAAGTGTTGAAAATTTTAGCTTGATACGTTGATAATTAGCCAAATTATTATAAAATAAGAAAGGCATTATATGATCACCCGGCGCTTTCGCCATTTAGTTTCATGACGTCTGACAACGTCGTTATTTCTCAAGGCCTGCTCCCTCTGTCTCAATACACTTATCTTGATGAGGTTCCCTGGAGTTAAGTAAAAGCTAAAACTCGTCTTGTTTATATGACATGACAATGTCATGAACAGCTCATTTCAATGCATATAAAATTGTTAAGAATCTATGCATAGGTAAAGATCCTCGCTTGTTTATGCCTGCATATTTTGCTTGTTGGATTTCAATATCTACCACACGTGATCAATGTCACTTTTTGACTTGATTGACTTTTCACACCTTGACTACAAATTGACATTAACTGTGCAACTCTCATCTCTCTGAATCTCTTTTGGCATAAAAAAAAAAAGAACTGTGGATGCATTTTATTTCTCTGTAGCCAGTTTAAACATTTTCTAGGTCTATGTCAGTTTTTTCAAGGGCAAAACTTTACAGAATATTGGAAAAAGAAACCCCTCCCCCCTTTTGACGTCATTTTCAAGCCCTTAATTGTTTGGACACTCCATATAAAATGTAAGATAAAATTTAATGGAACTTACAGAATGAGGTAAAAATTGCACACTTTACATAACAATTATGTCCCATTACATGCCTGAATTAACGGGATTTTCATATGTCAAATGCTCATATCAAAAGAGTTTTTCTCAGTTACACTCAGGTCTAAAAAAAGTCATGTTCGAGGTTGCGCCGCCTGGACACACCATTGCTTACAAAACCATTACTAATTAATTAAAAAATATAACTTTTGATTTCTGGTTTATTCTATAGATAGAAAAGATGATGGTTATTATATAGTTTTATATATTTTTAAATTCATTAATGTACCTAAAGCTGTTTTAAATTTATGGCGCTAGTCCACGAACTTTTTGATAGCCCCGTATATGTTGCTAGAGCGTTTAATACAGAAATATAATAGTTCTAAGCGGATTTTAGAAACTTCTTTTATCTGGAAATTATTAAAACTACGAATTTCGAGACGCGTTTGTTTGACACATATCCTTGCACTCCCAGAAAGGAAACTTTATTCTTAATACTTACATGTAAGCAAAGCAGAAATTTTGTTGTGTATTGATGAAAAATATCAAAAATATATTCCAGAAAATCCGAAGTAGAAATGAGAAATATCATCACATGAATGTTATCCACATAAGGCCGTTAAGGTGCACCATTATTAATACCATTTCAAGTGAAATATTGTTTGTTCAGTACTTAACAGGATTTTTCATACCCAGAGAATCAACACACTACAGATTTTCTTATAGAACGTAAAACAAAGATCAGCATTTCAGAATAAACTTTTTCTTGTTTCTAAACTTTACAACGATTTTTTTGGGGATCTAAATTTCATAATAAAAATGTTATTGTAAAGCTTACAAAATTCTATGGAATTTTATTAGAATGGAATTATACATAATTATACTGCAGAAAATGTGATCAGTGTATCGATTGTATCCATGTGCTTATCAGCTGATGAGGGGAATTTTTGACATGCATGAGCCTTCGCCTACACTGACCCAGTGGAAGAGGTCACTATTACGGTTTGATTACCCATCGGCCATTTCCTAAAATAAACACGTGGGAACATTGAGGATGATATTCAAGTATATACTAAATTGTCACAATTGGCAGATTTGGATTCACTTTCATCAAGAATTGGTTATAAATCCTAATTTGACGAAATGATTATATGTAACGACCATTGTTGGATTTCCCTGCGTTATCAATACATAAAATCGATAAACTGGTGGCCATAAACACAGGGTATAAGGTAAGAAAGTTAACTTACCTCATGTAATTTTCAGATCAAGACACGTTTAAATTATTTTAACAATTCTGAAAATAGCTATTTATACACATTTAATGAAATTTCACATTACACTTTGTACCCTATACATGCATTCTATATTTGTTTACATGTACATACCAAAGATTGCACAGGAGGGACCTTCTTTTATATGTTCAAGAAACACACGCACTCTTTACTATCCGGGTATTTCTCTGAACTCCATTTGATTTCCATGCAGTATTTCATTCCACGCTGACTTCATGAACAATTTTAATTACAGAGTGTCGTATAGCATAGAAGTGCTGAGTATTTTATGTAGGTAAAATCTATGTTCTGATTTTGCATGGATCCTGCAGTGATTAATACGAACATATTTCCATTTCTATTTGTTTTCTCTGTGATAACTCTTTGAAAATTAGTTGAGTTGATTTCTTGATCATTCTACTGGAATGTAAATTTCGCCAAGCGAAAGGTCAGGAGCTAAGAAGGCCTAATATGCATGTAATTCTCGTGCGGCTGTCTTTGTGCCTGACGCTAAGGAGGCCTAATATGCATCTAAATCTTGTGCGGCTGTCTTTGTTTGTTTGTTTGTATGTTGTTTAACGTCCCTCTCGAGAATTTTTCACTCATATGGAGACGCCACCACTTGCCGGTGGAGAGCTGCAAATTTTGTCCTATACTCGGCACTTACGGCCATTGAGCAGTGAGGGATCATTTTCGTGCCAGCACCTACTGCGACACGGGACCTCGGTTTATACGGTCTCATCCGAAGGACCGGTCTCCACGTCCCACAGTGGGATTCGAACCCACGACGTAAGGATCAACTCCTTACTTCGCGACTCTAGAGCAGACGCTCTAACCACTGCGCCACGCGGGCGACCGGCTGTCTTTGTGTTTGACGTCAGTGGGCGGGGACTATTGAAATTGACATGTGAGGCCTCGTGTAATTTAAATCTATTAGTCTACATTTTTAAAATCTAAATTAACAATTTTATTCACAATAAAATAGAAATATAAGGAATCACTGTCTAGTCAGCAGAGTATGCCAGGGACATCAACGATAGTTGGAAACGCGGGATAATTTATGCATAACGGGCTTCGCCCGTTATGCAAATTTTCCCATGTTTCCAGCTATCGTTGATGCCCTGGCATACTCTACTAACTAGACAGTGATTCTTTAAATCTTTGAGACATTCTTATTTCATTAAAGCCCACAGCATAGGTTATGACAATATTCACTGATTTTTAGCTCACCTCAACGAAGTTGGGGGATCGACCTTATGTAATACCCTCGGCGTCCAAGGTTACGATTTTTGGTGCAGTTTTCTTTTCAAGTACTTCTGTGC